CGCACGCGCTCGTCACCCCAGAAACGAATGCGATCTGAGTTTGGAGCGTGTGTGTTTCAACCGGCATGTCGGCCGATGTGTGCTTGTGTCTGCAGAGAACATCAGCCCGGAGGAGGAGTATAAGATCGCCTGTCTGCTGATGGTGTTTGTGGCGGTTTCCTTGCCAACGCTGGCCAGCAACGTGATGTCGCAGTACAGCCCCGCCATCGAAGGCACGCCTTCTATTTCATTTGACTGAACTATAACACGCTGTCACACTGCATCGCATTTTGGGCCGCGGATTTTTGCAATAACGTCTTAACTTTTAATGATTCATAATGAAATTAACGAGCCCTAAATCCAGAGCTTGATGGCAGTGCTGGAGAAAATAATCCACATTGTAGGAATCATAATTTACTGCACCAATGGCATGAGACTGTTTTGCATGCGAATGAGATCGACCTTGTGCCCTCAGATTTATTCATTCGTGTTCGCAAGAGCCATATCATCATCTTCATTATGTACGTTTTTTATATTGTTAGATTTATAAATACATTTTAAAGGTCAGTTTAACCTGATTTGTAGTTTTTCCGCAAAAAGATTTATGCGGTTAAATAAACCTCGGTGCAACAGAGACACTGTTAAATGAGGCTTTTTGTTAAGGTATCAAAGGGATCTGTCACTCAAGGATGAATTATCAAGACATTGCCTCTTAACAACCTTGAAATGAGAGGCGCCATTGTTAATAAGGGACATTTGAAGAGGATAATGAGTAGTAATGGGCTCCTCCAGTTAGTATGCAGACTGCGTATTTGCCTGCAATTGCTTTTCCAGCAGCGCGTCTCGCCGGTGAAACCACATCGACCATTACGTGAACAGAGAGTCACACACTCGCATGATTCTCTTCATGCGTCTCACACTTTTAATGCTGTTCATTTGCGTAAAATGCAACGAGAAAAAGGAAATCTATATTTCTCTGTCAGGCGTCAGGATTTAAACCAGGGTTAATTGATTATCAATGCGATGTCTTGTTGATGCCTCACTAACGGCGTGTGTGTGCTGCCCCCTACAGGCCACTGTAACAACATCCACTGCCTGGCCAAAGCCATCAACCAGATCGCTGCCGCTCTCTTCACCATCCACAAGGGGAGCATAGAGGACCGCCTCAAGGAGTTCCTGGCTGTAAGATCACCGCTTTTATTACATTATTACATGCTCACGTTTTTGCTAATAGTGGTACAGTTATTTGAGGGGTACGTGACCACAAAGGAGGAACCCCCTTTTTTCCCAATACATCTGCATGAAGGTAGTTGATAACAACTGCGGTTGATTTCATATTTGATGTAGCAGACATTTGTTTTGATGAATGCGACGTGTCTCTCTGTGTAGCTGGCTTCCTCCAGCCTGCTGAAGATCGGCCAGGAGACGGACAAGATGACGACGCGGAACAGAGAATCTGTCTACCTGCTGCTGGACATGGTGAGAGAGAGAGAGAGAGAGGGGGGGTTAGGTCCACATTAATGTGTTTTTATTTGTCTGGTTGTCCATTGTCTTACTGTCAGATGTTATGCACCAACCGCAAAGTCAAATTCCTTGTATGTGTAACATATTTTGGTAATAAATGCTGATTTCTACTAATATTTTCCATAATTAACTAAATATATAAACTAATCACAATTACCAACATTATAATGTGGTAGACAACATATTTTGGAGATAAATGTTCTTGATTCCTGATTCCTGATGTATAATATTGCTCGTGAGCGATGCATTCTGGTACGTTTACGCACGGCTCTGTATTTGAAGAGACCAGATTTATTGGTCAATAGAGGAATGCATTTCGTCAGTGGACTACATGTCCCATCAGCCGCGATGGGACATCCACACACCCGGTGGCTAGTTTTCTCCTTTTGGACCAAAGAATTCAGGTTCTTCTCAATGTTGCTGCCACAGAACAATGACCCAACACGGTTCTGTCATCAGAGTGGGAATAACAGTATATATAAAATAAAAAATATATAGATATAGAATTAGTATTTCCATGAAGTAAAAGTGAGGTGTGTTGTGTTTCAGATCGTGCAGGAGTCTCCCTTCCTCACCATGGACCTGCTGGAGTCCTGCTTCCCCTACGTCCTGCTACGAAACGCCTACCACGCCGTCTACAAGCAGAGCATCAGCGCCAACGCATAGACGCACTCCACACACAGCCGAGGCCCACTGGGCCAGTGCTCGCGTATGGACCCACACACAACGACAAATACACCCTAACGGCATACACTAAGTACAAACTAAATACACTAAACTATGCCTACAATGCCTCGATGTTAATATTCAGACAGTGTGTGACTTGTAGACTAAAACGGTGAAACACTAACATGAAGACGGGTTCACTCTAAATGCAACAACAACACAATAAACCCCGAAACAAGATGGAAAAACTCACATAATTCAGTGCACAAAGATGACAAAATGACACCGAAATTCAAAATGAATAGAAACAAACAGACAAACACTAGCTGGATGAAGTCGGGGGATCAGTGTCTTTACTTTAATCATTGTACTTTTTTATTGACGTTGCCAGGGACCATAACCATAGCAACGCGTAATATATACCATATGTTTGGTTGGTATAAAAGAACAAAAATATAAATATATAGTATATATATAGTTGACACTAAAATATTTTTTCTTTTTTTTTTCCTTTTTCAATGAAAGATTTGAGGGTTTTTTAGTGGCCAGCTGACAACTTCTATATGGTGACGGATTTGGATGCTTACTTTGGGAATGCAAATGATGTGACGTGGATTATTTTTTATTTTATGGAGGAAGATTTCTGTGTTGTTAATGAAAGACACGTTGCTTGTTAATTTAAGTTTACATCTCTACACACATTGACACACTAAGCAGATCAACTATGTACAAACTAACCTTTCAACACGTCATAGTGAACATCTCTCTCACACACACACACACACACACATATAACATGGTGATGTTTTCTTTCTATTTTTTCAAGCTTGTCGTAACTTGGACTTTTTGTGGGTAAAGATATAATATCCGTAATTCTACTTTGATGTGAACTGAACTTGTCTGTTTTCAATGTTTTATGTTTTGTTATTTTTACGATGACAACTATTTGCCAAATGTGTTGACACTAAAAGTTGTGTATCAGGGCTTGGAAGTGGTGGAGTGTTTGGGTATTAGTGGGTGAAATGCCATTTTTAAGTGTTGGGACGGTGTGGAATCAATCCCCCGGACTGCTGCAGCTGGGTTAACAGAACGGGGTCACACAATAACCTTTTCAGCGGGAACAAACTAAAAAAACGTCAGTACAACTGCAGATATTCCTCACAGATGTTAGTCAACTGATTAAGTAAAGGGCCAGTAGGTGCTACTTTTTTTTTTTTCTTCTCTCTCAATGGTGTAAAGTAGAAACAAACTAAAAATAATTTATATAATCTGTTGCAGAATTATTGCCTGCAACTTTCTCTGTTCTAAAAACAGGAACAAATCTTCATCTTCATAGAGGGAAATTTTGCTTTTCCGTGTTTTTTAATTTTTACATTTGCAGTCTTGTAGTGTTGGCTGTTACCCGGCTGTGCTGAAACATCCGGGGGGGGGGTAGTGCCTTGCTCAAAGGCGCCTTAACAACAGCTGAAGGTCCACCAACTACATAAATGTCTTAGTATTCAACTTTAACAGGAGTAATTAAATAAACCAATTATCCCAGAGCAAAAACAAGTAAAACCTAATTGATCTCAGACCTGTGAAAGTCTGCTAAAACCTGACGTACACACACACACACACACACACACACACGCTGTTGGTTCTTCACTGGATTTTTTAAACCTTGGTCGAAGGTCATTCTTCAATAAAATCTCCATATTAACAGTTACGTTTGCGCGATGGTGGTGTGGGACCTTCTTTTTTTTACAGAGTGGGCGGAAACTTTTACAAAGTGAAGTCTGCTTTATGTACATTTCTTTTATCAATCCAGTCATTGCTAGGGCTCCGTAGGGAGACTAGAAGCCAGCCCACTGCTAAAGTATGACACACACTAGGGCTCTGAAAAGCTCGTACTGCACACGCTCCTCTCACCTTGCTTACAGTATGTGGCAGGAACACAATAAAAACGACGAATCTGCACTTTACAGTAGATCCCACGTCTTCTTTCTGCTGTGTATTGTAGTCAACAGTGAGTGTAAGGACACATCCAAGGATACATTCTGCCATTTGATGTGGAATGATTGCTGTTTTTCTTTCTAACCTCTTTTTCTGTGTCCCTGATTTCCCTCCCTGTAACTTAAATTAATGAATAAAATAAACTTTAGGGCTGTGTCAGACCTGATCTGTGAGTGTGTCGCGGCCTTTTGTGCACGTGTGCTTGACTGAGACGTGACAGGGAAAACACGCTAAATGGCCACACTTCGTCAGTAGTGACTGTTTGCATACTCACTAAGGTGTCCTTGGAAACCTCGAAAACTGTTTATACGTTTTCCTGGAAGAAAAATTCCCCTTTTTTCTTGAAGCCGAGTGATCTTTTATCTCCATACATGATGATCTTAAACATAAATTAGCATGAAATTGCTGCTATACTGTTGGATATTCATTTCTATGCATGTAAGAGGATTTTATATTGAAATATTACAAATTACTTCCACAGAGAGGAAATTACTTCATAACGTATCTTTACACAAATTAGTTCATCAGTGAAGTGATTTATAGAGCAGTGAGACTGTTCCAAAACAAATCTCAAATCTTGTACGCTATATATAACATCTTGTCTGTTAATTGATAACATTCCTAATTGATTGAATTGAGCCAAATGGATGAGTGAAATACAAACCCCTTTGACTGTACAATAAAACTAGGACCCAAAACCAGTTGTTCCACTCTGCATTACATCATTATCAATTACTACAACCACTACTACGTAAGAGAATAATAAAAACACTACACTACAGTACAGTGTCCTACGGAAACCACTAGGGGGGACCACAATCAAACTAATAGCGTGATACTTGAAGGACAGAGAGGAGTGCTTACGTTTTATTGCTGTTACTGTGACGAACATGATAAGATACTGCATATACAAAAGATGAAGAAAAATGTTCATCTATTCAAGCAAAGTATTGAAGTAATCTGATTTCCCCAAATTAGCATGTATTTAAAAATAAGTCAAAACCTATTCTGTTTAACTGTAAACTGTAACAAGAACACATTTAAAATCAATATAACAAACTTTCAACAAAGGACAGATATTTTGATCAAAGTCACAGGTGTGATTCATAATGAGCCCAATGAGTGCTGGCATTATTCATGTTTAATTGCATTGTCTGCTTTTCACGATAGTGCCTCAAAAATAGCCTCAAAAGCTAAACAAGTATGGTTTTTATTGCATTACTTCCATAGGTATATTTGAGGTGTTAGCCATTGCGTTAATTGCGTTTAAATTCCTGGTGAAAATATGCTGTTGACTCCCATTAATCATCCCGTGTCGATCCTGGATCTGAAACCCGTTACAAACTAATGATATTTACGTAATTAGCCTGCAAGCTAGCAATCACCAAATTAAAAAAATGAAACACATTAGCGTTTTATCTTTTTTTAAATTTAGAGTAGACTGACACTTAATTTTACAAGGAAATAGCGTTAATTAGTTAGCATGTGTGGTTAACTACTGCTAGCTAGCGGTTCCTCGTTTAAGTTAACAAGCTAGCTAGAATGCGGGGTTAACTACTGCTGGCTAGCGGGTCCTGGTGTAAGTTAACAAGCTAGCTAGCATGCAGGGTTAACTACTGCTGGCTAGCGGTTCCTGGTGTAAGTTAACAAGCTAGCTAGCATGCAGGGTTAACTACTGCTGGCTAGCGGTTCCTGGTGTAAGTTAACAAGCTAGCTAGTATGCAGGGTTAACTACTGTCAGCTCGCTATCCTGGCTGAGCTGTAGTACCAAGCAGACCAATTAGTGAAACTTTCAGATTCAGTGTTTTGGCGAAGGGCACTCGAGTTACTCCCGCCAAAATTGCTAAAATGTCGGCTGTTTCAGGATCGCTTTTGTGATGGCGGTGAGTGATTGTCTTGCTTTGGTGAGAGGGGAAATTATGCTTCCACCATTCTCATAAACTAAAAACAGGGCAAACAAAGGTTAATTGGTTGGTGTGCTACGCGGGTTCAGACATTAAAGGAGTCCTGTGGAAGTGAAGGTGCTCGTTTGGCTCGTTTCTTTCACATAATCTAACTAGACGTTAACGGACGTGTCCATTAACTGATTTCGTAAGGGCCGCTCTCCCGATGGACGCCGGTGTCCGTCGGTTCGTCCAGATCATCGAAGATCGGCCTCCACTTTTGTGTGGAGATTTCCTTAATGAATCACTGGTCCTGAAGGCTGGCTTCCTCCTCGTCTTCCTCGGGTACAGAACTTTTCAGCTTCCCTACACACACACAGATGGCACTAAAATAAATTAATGGATTAATGATAGATAATAAAGCCCGTTCATATTTAGTCTAAATTTAGTTAATAAGCAAACCTGCATTTCTAAACAGTCATTTACCTATTGGTAATCCAGAAAAACCCCCACGGGTGATTCACCTTGTGGATGACCTTCTTAAATATTCCACTGGTATTTGACCTGACGAAAGAACTGTGGATTCAGTTTTCATGGTGAATCCCGTGTTTGTCTTGTGCTCCCTTTTATTGAGCTCATCCCTTCCGTGGACCATGTTGCCTCCCGGGCCCATGTGATAAAAACACCGGGCCACATGTTGCCCAAACCACACACACCCATTCGCCAACTCGAGAGACATCTCCTCTGTTGATGCAGCGAGCGGGTTGACCTCCACGCGGTCGGGGTCACACAGATGTGAGGAAGGCAGCTGTGCAATGCTGCGCGGACCGAAACATCACGTCGTTTGGACAATTCATTTGAATTCTAACCATTTCCGTTTCACACATTTAGGACACTGTTGCTATTGGAGTGTAGTGTTCATATCTTTAGGATCTTCAAAGATATTCAACGTTCTCCTGTAGGTCAAACAGATGGTTGCAATGTTCAGTGTGTCACATCACACACACTTAACCTCTTTAAAACGTCTCTTTACACCTACACGTTTCAATGAAATGAATTTATTTTGTCGTGAAAGACAATTTAAAGTAAAATGTGCATAAACCACTGTGGACGTGAACCCCCCTAATTCTAAAAAACTTGAATAAATGATAAAAAGCCATCTATTAAGAGTTTTACGTAAAGGACAAAGAATACTCAGACATTCAGTAAATCTTTCAATATAATACATTTTTATTCACAGCCATTTCTAAACAGGCAAAACCTCCCCAACGCCGCTTACAATAATTTAATTTTTAATTGATCTGGTTATGTTGAACTACGAGAGAGCGAGAGAGAAGGAAAGAGGATCTGCTGTATGTGGAATTTATCAGAGGGACGAGATGAAGAGGCGAGAAGTTGGTTATCAAGAGACAAAGATCAAAGGTCGCTATCGGGAGATGGAGTCGGGACTGGATGCTTCCTTTTTGTGGTCACATGACAAGTCTGAGAAAGGAGGGGGGGGGGGGGGGGGGCGTTGGGTTGGGGGGGAATAACAGGAGGGAAGATGGAAGGAGATCATGCAGAAGCCACAAGAGAGGGAGAGAGAAGAGTTAGTGCTGTTAGTAGGTGAGAGTTTTACAGAATATAGACTGCTGGAATTGTAGACATTTTAGTAATAAAAAAAAGTAGAATGCTTTTGAGAGGAGATGTAATGAGTTTTGATGCTGTATGATTAGCTTTGAATAGAAGTACTTTGCCTAGTTGAATGCATGGCAATACTTACAACATAAGATCAAGATAACAGACAAGATGACAGACTGACTAAAGTTATTTATTAGCTGTTAACATATTAGCTGTAGTATGATTAATTTTGTGGTTCAATATTTACCCTCATTTCAGCTGTGTTTTCATCCTCTGAGGGAAATATTAGCCCCTTAAGGAGCTAGATGATTGATTTTAGTTCATGGTTTGGTGCTGAGCAGGAAGAGGATACTGCCGTTATCAGCGTCCTGTCCGTGTTGATAGGAGCAGTTCTGACTTCACAAATTGCCCAGAGATACTAAAAGAGCTGCAGACTCCTTTAAATTAACAGTTCATTTATTGGGGATTTTAAAAAAGCTGTTTGTATATCATGGCCAAACTCCCCAAACTAAAATATGAATTTATTCATTGTTTCTTTTGATGTCAGTTCTATCAAATACAATAGTCTCCCAAGAAATTTAATATAATTAAGAAAAGTAATGCTGCCGACTATAATTTTGGTAATTAAATGAATGCTAATGTGTATCTGGTGTGTGTATTCGGGCCAACAATGTATTCCAAATGACTTTGAATGTAATTATATATATATATATATATATATATATATATATATATATATATATATATATATATATATATATATATATATATATATACATGTATAGGCGCACACAGACAAACAGACGCACTGCCTCGGGTGTCCGTCACTATTTCAAACACACACTAGTGGCAGATGAGCTTCATGTTTTTGTTTTTTTTTGCATACATGTGTGAAAAAACAAAGTGTATCCCCCTACCTGGGTGTGAGGTAACCGTAAGTGTGACAAAAATCTAAATTAATCTGAATGAAAGTGTGTACAAAAAAAACGGTTCACCCCCTGAACTGACGCTCTCTGCCCCTCCTCTCTCCTGAGTGGCTAAAAACACACCCGCCTCATTGCCGGTGGCTTCCTCTGGCCCGTTGTGATTGGCCCACAGGGAAGAGGCAGCATAGAGATGTGCTGTGATTGGGCTCAGCTGGCCGTCTGTGTCACAGAGCCCCGCCCCCAGAAGGTGCTGCTCCACCCCTTGTTGAAGCTCTGAGGAGAGAAGAGCACCTCTACTGGAGAGACGCTTCAACTACACGGGACGCTAAACTAAAGATTAAAAGTAAAAACATATAGCTAAAATTAAACATTTAACTGACAACTAAGTTGTGTTACGTTTTAATATGTAGATATTTGTTCAGAATTTAAATATGTTTTAAAAAATGACCCCAAAAAAGTGTCGAGTAATTAACAAATTGACATCCTTTTACACATGTGTTTGACATAACAAATAAATAAAAACAGAAAAAACGAAGATCAATAAACAACCCGTTTTTTCCCTGATCACACGGTATGTAAGCATTTGGTGCATTGGCAGTTACTCATGAGGCTGTTAGCTAACCGCCCCCCCCCACACACACACACACACACACACACACACACACAGGATCAATAAAAGAAAAGCTTTTAACGTCTCCTCTTCCAGGAACTCATTGCTGAACTCCCTCTTAGAGAGCTCTGCACACACTAATATATATATATATATATATATATATATATATATATAAATAAAAATAAATATATATTAGTATTTTTATTTACCGCTAAAACCCGAACTTTCAACTCAAGAAATGAAAGTTTTCCGTCTTACATTCACATTTCAAAACACACGCAGTGGTGATAATAAACACCTCTAAGCTGTTCTTGTAGCAATGACGGCTTTATAAATAATTCATAGCAGGCGATGATATCAAAATGATGACAACAACAACAACAAAGTCTTTTAGAGATAAAAACCCCTCGGAACCGTCGGACGGTCTTCAGATGACGAGAATCTCGAAACGAAACCAAACAACGTGACTTGCGTGTCCTAAACACCCCAAAATATTGATGGTAACCCAGAACCTAAACCAGAAAAGTCCCATGAGCCACCTGACCAAACCGAACCATCAGAAGTGACCCCGCTGCCAGCGGCGCCAGCTGAACCCACAGGTCTGAGGCGCACAAATATTACACAATAACACAAGAGAAGTGGGGCCGAATAGCTTCAGATAACAGAGTGTAATCAGACAAAATAAACGCAACTGGTGTGGAAACACAGCTGCATCTGAACCCCCAGTATGCAGCATCAAAGACTAAAGTACATTAAGCACCAACAGGATGAAGCATTCTCTACTTCTTCAGGATTCATGGCTCAGAACAGAGAACACATATTTAAATGAAAATGAAGGAGAAAGGTTGTATTCTCATATTTAACAATGGATGACTTCTCACGGCAGGCTGCTGGTTGTCGGGCCGTCGCGCCATCAATCAACTTTGACTGAACCTAATTTCTGAAGACAAAAGATCCATCTGTTGCTGATGAGCCACAACGAAAGGATCAGTATAAAAGACATGCACTTAATAAAAAAGACCAGAAATGTTCTCTCTGTTTGAGAGAAACTTTCTACAGGCATTTAGACGTTTTATTCTGATGGGTCAGTGTTTCCATGTGTTTTTAGTCTGGGCTTTTAGCGACGTCTTGAATATTTGCATCTCAATTTTAACCTTAATCCTCTCCTTGGGGGTCCAATGGACACCTTCTGCTTTCTCTTCCTGGAGCGTCTTTTATGCTGTTTAAAGGCATTGTGCACATTTAGCTAAACATCTCAGGAGAACCATGCAGAAGGCCGTTTACCTTTCATGGTGGGTGGGGCGAAGGTGCTCTGCTTCCTCTGAGAGGTCTCTGAAGCCTGCAGAGCGGAAGGAAAACAACACATGAGCACGTCTTCTATCACATAAATAAAAGCAAACACCTAAAAGGAGACCGTCTGTGTCGTCCCTCCTGATCTCACAGCAGTGAAACAACGTTGACTTTCCGGAAGAACCATCATTTATCTCACATTTTCTCTCATTCGACCCTTTTAATGCCAAAAGAAATGTGAGAGATGTCGATGCAGTATTTAAGTGATGCCGTGAAGAATCTTTTAAAATTGGAGACTCATATTCTGACAGTTTATAATCAGAGTTTAATGCAAAATAGTTCTGCCTTTCCTTTCTGATCAGTCTGGTATTAACAAAGTGAAAGGGAAGAAGTTTTAGACCTTTTAGAAGATACACTTTCATGCCGTTTGCTGGTTAAAACATCGGAGCTCACTTCAGGCTCTGTTGTCTGACGTTAGCGCGTGTAGTTCATCCCGAGTCTCGATGGAATGTGGCAGATGTGATCACATTTAAACAAACCTGCGTCTCTCCGCTGGCGTTGTTTTGATCTCCGACATCTGCAGAGAGAGATGAGACGGCAGCATTCAGCTTTTGTGTTTTTATTGATTTGTCAGAAAACTTTTATAACCCGAAGGTTATTTCCAAAAACCACACAAAAGATTTTGATTTGGTTCTCTCTCTGATTTGGTAGCAAGCTTTCATAGTGTTTTCCCCCTTTTATCATCTGGATGCTTCTGGGTGGCTTTCACAATCGGCTTTGCATTCAAATAAATAAATACAAATATTTCCCTTTAACTCACTTTTTGTCTACTGTTCTTTTGAGTCACGAAGCTCAAAGTCTTCTTCTGTTCGTATTGTCAACGTATTGCTGACAGATCCCATCAAAAGTTCCCCTCCAGCTCAGCGTTGATGTTTTCAATCTCTGTCACTTCAAAACACCAACGTGTGATGTCGCTTTTAAAGTGAGATACTTTCTTCTTAATTCATGAGCATTTATCAAAGACAAAAGGACCACAGTCACTTCTTGTCTTTACAGCTGCTTTCCACTTTACAGAAGCACAAGACTTTCTAAGGCCGTAATAACCCTTCAATTAATAGAGAGACAGAAAACAAGTATGTTGATTTCCTTACTTATTTAAAGAATTTGTTACTTGTCCCTGGTGTTTGACACCAACGCTCTTCTTTCTTTGAGAACATTTTTATACACTAGAACCTCAGTGAGATGAGCTCATAAAAAGGCTTCCTGTGGGCACACACACACACACACACACACACACACACACACACACACACACACACACACACACACACACACACACACACACACACAGTGTTTTCATGATTTTTTTGGGACATTACATTGACTTACACTAATGTCCCAGGACTCACCTTGAACACGACCTCCACCAGACTCTGATTCTAACCCTTAACCCGACATTCAACCCAGTCTTCTCCCTAAGAAGTCAGGATTCACGTTACGAGGACGTGCGATTGTCCGCGTTGACCAGTCCCCACAACGTCAATGTGTGAACACATTTATGTCCCCGCAAGACATGTGTAGTGTGTCTCTCACACACACACACACACACACACACTTAAAGCATCCATTAGTCTGGTCTGAACACTGAGATCACTTACCAATAGCTGCAGCGCAAATCTAATAGAGATTCCATTATAGCTGATGCTTTTCAGCTCTCTCTCTCTCCCTCTCTCTCTCTCTGTCTCTCTCTCTCTCTCTCTCTCTCTCTCTCTCTCTCTCTCTCTCTCTCTCTGTGTGTCTCTCTCTCTCTCACCTGTTCCAGGTTGTCTATAGATCTGCAGAGTGGCTGGAGTTGGTCTCCTGCGACGGATCTGAGGGAAACACACAAGTATGTAATGGTTTATCTTCAACTTCCCTCTGATCCAAGCCGGTGGAAATTGTTGTTGTATCGAAACTGAAACCTTTTAAAGCTGAACGCTTGCATGTTCTTTTTAATTGTGGTATTTTAACAATCTAGACTCGTTTAGACTCATCTAGTCACATTAGTTGGGCTTTAAAAACATAAAGAAAATCCTTGTCCAACTCAAATTTAAACAGGAATATCAACAGGAGTTGATCATCCCAGCTTTTCCGACGCCATAAAAACGCGGTCCTGCATATTTGTGGACACTTAATTGAGCGGATTTCATTAATCACTCGAAGTTGTTCAAGTGCCTCCTAAAAATACTACAGCCCACTTCAAAGTTTTAGTGGGCATTTCACTTTTCAGATGCACAACATCCACATGGTCCATGGAAACAAGAGGAGGGGACAGCGCGTGCTACAAATCAGCCACCTCTGTTTCACGAATCCTCGTTGTAAAGTTCTTAAAATCCTCATTGGATCTCAGGCGAAGGGAATCAGGAATGTAAATGTTCATCGTCACGCCGGACGGGACACTTGTTTTTTTTTACGAGACGTTACCTCGTAAAACCACAGCAGAAGCGCTCCTTCACGCGACGGGGGCCCAGGGGCCCTGATTTGTCACTGTTCATTTCCCGTTTCCTCAGACACAAACTATTTCCTGTTTCCATCCAGCAAAGCGCTCAGGAGGCCCGAGAGAGAGCGGCTTAAACTCCCACACGCAACGTCCGTGTTACCTTTTATAAATACACATACAATTTAATTTAAAATTTAATTTAATCTTAAGAAATATCAGGTTGTTGGTGGTCCTGTGTTTCCCAGAATGCCTTTCAGCGCTCCCACGCCGGGAGGACGGGCGTGAACTTCAGCTGCAGATCCTCCGCGATGGGAGTGAATTTATCTTTGTGGACATTGACGTACTTGTGAAGAAAAAAAAAAAGAATTTATTGTAATTATAAAGCGTCTGCTTACAAATATTAGTCAAACGTGCGCTCAAATGTGACGCGTGTGACACACAGACACACAAACGGCAGTTTTCACGAGGCCGACTCGTGCGCACACGCACCCACACACAGAAAATTCCAGATAAGATGACACACGGAAGCCTTATTCGGCCCTCGTAGAGCACACACACACACACACACATTGAGATACACTCACGTGTTCGGCGGCCTGCGGGTCCAGTTGTCCCTGCAGCGGAGGAACAGCAAACTGGATCTTTTTTGGACTGCTGGGCTCCATTATGACTGAGTGAGAGGTCGAAGGAAAGACGGACGGAAAGAGAGAGCATGTGTGTGTGTGTGTGTGTGTGTCTGTGTGAGTGTGTGTGTGTGCGTGAGTGTGTTAAGGAGGGAGGGAGTAGAGATGGAGGGAGTGGCCTTCTGTCAGCCGACGGCGTCCATTATCACTAATTGACAGAGAGAGAGAGAGAGAGAGAGAGAGAGAGATTCTCCACAGCAGAATGAATGTTTAATGGTACCAAAAAAAAAGAGGTATTCAGATCCTCTACATGTGTAAAAGTACCAATAACACAATCATATTGCCTCGTAGCTCCAAGAAGAAAAGCAGCCTTGTTCTCAGCTTCCTCTCAACGTCAACATGTAACGTAACTGGACAGGAAGGGGATTCAAAATTGTTCCGTGCGTAACTACAAATACCGTAAACTCTCAAATACGTACTCCAGTAAATCTACATTCTACCTCAGCAAAAGAGCACATGTACGGTAACAGTAATAATCCTCCTCCTCATTCTTATTATACACCTTTTCTCATTCAGTGTTGTGTGGGAATCTTCATCTGCATCGCGGTTTGTATTCTTTTGAATTTGATGACAATCTTGTTTTTCGATAGAATCGCTTGACGACCTAAAGAACAAAAAGGCTGGATGGGTTTCAGAAGAACTTAAACGCTCCACAAACAGTGTCCCAGTTTGACTGCATATCCACACCATAATATCACTTTAGTTCTTCATTGATGGGATGGGATTACGGAAATACATTTATACTTAATGAACTTCTTCTGTGTGTTGGCAGTGGTTGTGGAAACATCTGGAGAGACTTAGTGGCCACTGTAGGAGGAACAAACCACGCACACAAATCGCACAAAGAGCCTCTTTGTTGCGTTTTTGTGTCGTTGGAAACTTCTCTGATTTGTGAAGGTGAGACAGAAAACGGTTGTTTGTGGTGAAAACGTCTTTCTGTCGTACTGTAGAAGTCACGTAGTTTTAAAAACAGTTTAAAGGTCGAGTGTTTGCAGTGGATTAGTTAATCAAAGGGAAAGAATGGTCTTTGACAGCAATAGTTATTATAGCAATTTATTACATTAAAACACAAAGTAGCAGATTCAGAGTCCCTGGCTTAATTTGTATTTAGTTTAATTGGATTCATATTAATGGATGCTTATGGACACGTGTGCAAATGAACCTCTGAAACACACATAATAAACAATCCACCACTTTATAAACTCTATCATATGTTTGCATAAATAAAATAATCTGAAAGGAAAGTAAAAAATAAATGATCCCATACGATAAAATATAGAACCACAATGCTGTTATAAGTTATTTGCCATCAGTCCGTTCATAATAAATACCAAAACACGCATTTTGATGAACTCAATACCAGGAAGCCCCGTCTTAAATAGTATTACTGTTACATGTTACAAGGCGGCACCAAAACAACTCTTTTTAAAAATAAGACACGAAAACAAAAATACACATTGATATCAGTTTCACAATCGTCGGCACGTTACCCACCGCAGCGCCTCGTTCAGAGCACCGACGTTCAAAAGGAGCATTTCCTTAAGTCTAAAGTGCAGAACAGCGACAAGTTGTTTCCGTTAATCGTTTGCGCTCCAATAACTGAGAAAACACCCGACTGGAGGATCGATCGGAAGAGATGATTCAGCAGCCGTGCCGGGAGGTGGAGGTCCGAGCGGTTTCCTGCCGGCCGGCTGTCGATGTTTCGCTGGGGTCAGGTGACCTTTTCAAGCAGCGAATCACCCGGAATCATCCCGCCGTTACTGAGCCAGATGTTTGCGTGTTTCTCGGCTGGATTCGACTAAAAGCATCAGTGGCGGGAAACAAGATTTGTGAATCGTAGATTTTGCGACAACCTGTCAGCGTTCCACTGCTGATCAATGAAAGTGAAAGTCAGATTTCTAAAGAAGTGACCCCCCCCGATAGACGAGGTTCTTTTGCTGCGCTGTTGGAAAACCTGGAGGCAGTTTGAGACACGGCACAGAGATGCTGGTAGCAGCTCCGTTTTACCCTCAATACTTCATGAAGCACTTGTGTACATACGAGAGCTCGACACACTGCAGCCGGAGAAAGCGAACGATCAAAACAACAATAGAAATACTTTGTTTGCGTTTTGTCTTCTTGTGCTTCCCGTCTCTTTAAGAACAAAAGGCCGACTCAAACGCAAAAAGGCAGCAACTCGAAGACATTCACGCGGATCCGGGACGTCAGAAACTCCCGATGCGACGCGGTTGAACGACGGAGAAGAAGCTCTGCTGCGGGGAAGAAAAAAAAAAAGAGCGTTTGGCACATTTTAACTTTGGCATCTAAAGAGCCGTCAGCTGACTGTGGCTGCGACAGGAACTGAGACCCGGGAACCTTTTTTTTTTTTTTTTACCAGCGTGGTTCCGTCCACAGGAGACGCCTCGGATCAAAACAACCTCCCCGCTCCTCCGGCGCCGCCGCGACCTCCGAGTGAGAGCATCTCCCACCTGGACACCCGCGCCGTGTCTCCGGCGCGCACGGAGACGCTCGCGGTCGGTACAAAGCGCACGTGTTTGGCATCAGCTCGCCTCGGAGAACGAGAGGGACGGATCCTCCCGGAGCGGGTCCGCCGGCTGGTGTCCCTGCGTGGTGGAGACGACGTCGTCAACGTTGTTGTTGTTGTTGTTGTTGACCTCTCGGGGCGGTCTTCAGATGGACAGGTCGGTGTCTGTGTCGGTGGGCGTGGTCTTTGGGCTGTCCGGCCTCTCTTCAGGGATGGACGAGTCTCCGTTGAGCGTTGGCAGCAAACCTGTAAAGCACACAAGTTATTTAGGACCCGTTTTATCTGCATGTGTACATCTCGTTCCTCGTGGTGGAACGAGTCCTGAGATCTGAGATATTCTATATTCTAAGTATGAACGCATCATCGTTTCATCTTTTAGTAACATCAACAACAGCAAGATTCGGCGTCTTACGTTCAGCGTCGTAAAGCGAGCTGTCGGAGAACGTTCGGGTCCTGCGCTGACTTGACTTCTGACCTCCACTCGAGTACTCCTTCAGCACGCCGGACCTGAGCAGAAGAAATAAATCCATATGAATACAATCACGTTGTGTCTGTCCAAATGTCACGCATGGGTTTATGGGCTCGGCAAATGAATCTGTCTCACGTGCACTGCTGCCCCCTGGAGGCCAAAGCGAATCATTCATTAATACAGAAAGGTTTTAAAGAGCATAAAAGTCCTGATGATCTTCTTTGTTCTTAAATCATTTAGTTTTAAATGTTTTGCAGTTTAAAGTTACTCGGTACGGTGTGTTTTAACTCACCTGTCAAAGCTGTATGTTCCAGGGTGACTAGTTGACCGTTTCAGCTGGGCGGGCGACACAAAGGCAGAAGAGAATACACGTTGGTATTAAATAATGGAGGATGTTATAGAAATGTCACAAAAGGAAAGAAAGTGGGGTTTGGCTACGAGCGCAACAAAGGTCACTAATGTCTACAACTCCCTGACTCGTCTCTTCTAATTAATCAAGTTTACTTTTCGGTCATTATTATTGGGATTGTTTCAGCCTGCAGGCGTCGGGTGATTGATGGCGAGCAGAGCGTAACACAACGTCTGCTGCAGTGCCAGAGAAACAAATACACAGACACAACTGTAAAACACAACTGCTGCTGGAACTAAAGCAGTCTGTGTTAACTGTGATTTAATAACTTGGGTCTTTTTCAGGTCTGTGGAAAATGTTTTTCACACTGTGCAAAGACGGATGTGAGCAGCAGGAGGGACTTTCTCAGTTCAGTTAATACAACGACGGCTAAAATGATCAATCAGTTATTCCACCAACAGAAAATTAAATTCTAATGACTCAAGTTGTTTCTCCTGTAAACGCATTTCTCAGTTACAGCATCTGAAATTTTTTTTTTTAAATAATCGCATTTTTTAACAGTATTTTTGGGCTCCTCTATTGTCAGTTTGACTTCACTGGAAAGGTTTTATCCATCGGCAGGAGAAGAAGAATTACCCTTTCAGGAGGTCGAAGGTCAGGGGTCATACTCTGGTTGGCGAGGGTCATACACTCCTCCAGAGTCCTGATGAAAGTTGCGCAGGTTGCACTGAGCAGAGAGGACTGCAGGGGCACAGAGGAGGAAAGTGACCTGTGACTCACTGACTCGGATTCTTCAGACAAAAACAAACCGTCAATGTAACCGTGTGGCTTTAAAAAGGTACAAACATCCTAATATACACTGTAAATATCAGTTATACGTTGTATTATGAATCTATCTTGTTTTGGGTGTTACCTCAGAAGTGGGCGTTTCCTCTGTGTCAGAAGTGTGCTGTGATTGGATGGTTTGCACCTGCTGGACGAGGAGGTCGCAGTACAGGCGAAGTTCCGACATCTTTGTCTTCAGACAGTCTGGACCTGGCGACACACACAAACAGACACACACTTTTTCAAAACTCCATACTGAGATAAATCAAATATTTTATGATTTGATAACCGTTCTATAAACATGACAAAACCTAAATTCTTTTCATTACTTCATTTATTTAAGGGTACATTTGACGTGAGGGTGTGAATTAATCGGTCTGTTTGTGTGCCAGTGACCCAACAACCAGCTGATTTTCACAATAAATCGATTTGTTTACATTAAGCTGAATTTGAGCAAGCTGCCGGTCTATAAGTGTTTCTTATTAAATGTCACTTGGTACCTTTGTGTCTGTGACTCTCAAGGGTTCCGGCTTTGGACGAGCCCAACGCCACCAGCCACCTCTGGCGCTCGGCGGCGTTCACCGCTCGCACGTAGAAGTGCTGCTCGCCGGGGATGATCAACTCCAGGCGCGTGGTGTCCGTCGGGTGGACTGGAACAGAAACCAAACGTGAGCGGCGAACGAACTGATCGAAGCGGTTTGCGATCGCTCCGAGGGCGGGCTCACCTTTGATGTCACACACGGACATCTTGATGGATCCTTTGCTTCCTTTGTCCACGTCGTCCTCGCTGTCGTAGTAAGAGATGACGCCGCCCTCTAAGACGAACCAGCGCGGCTGCCAACCTGGACGCGGAAAACAAGCAAGTCACGAGCGTCTGTCTCGGTGTGGTTATTGCTCAAATGCCGGGTTAATACAGATACTACTAACCCATTGCATTAGCATTTCATTTTATTTTATTACTTGTCCACTGCTGTCCACTGCTGTCTTGTTGTCTATTGTTACACTGTCTACTGTCACTCACCAACCGCCAAGACAAATTCCCTGTATGTTTGACATATTTTGGCAATAAATGTTTCCTGATTCCTGATATTAATGGTGATGAAGCTGTAGAAGCAGATGTATTGTATGAATGGTGGGTTCAATGGCCGCAACTAAGGATTATTAATCATTGTTTATTGATCTGCATATGTTTATTCTGTGAGATAATGGAATAACATCCATATTTACTAATTGATTTTATGATTAGATTCTTGGGAAACTTTTTTAAACTTCACACTCTTCACTCATCCATCTGCTGATAAACACATCTCATAAACTCATTGTTAAAAAATATATATAACTGTGTTCAGTAATAAACCATTTAATTTAATATCTGAGTGTTTAATTAAAAATTGCCCTTTGCTTCCCCATTGTCTTTATTGTGTGTACATTTTGTAGCGAGGCCATTGGAGCCACAGATCATGTGAGTCAGGAAGAACAACTTCCTTAAATAAATACAATAAAAATTGTCTAATTCTCACTTTGAATGCTAACTGGAACTGGTCTTCCAGTTAGTTACTGGAACTGGTCTTCCAGTTAGTATCAGATCGTCTGACAGCGTTTCCGCTTTTTAATCCGGTCTTAACACTTTTTTATTGACTTGCTTTTTTTCGCTGACAGTTGTATCATTTTTTAATATAGCTGTGTTGTGCGGCCTATTTTTTACTTCTATTTAATAGTTTCACTTGTCCTACCTTCCATGCTTTGGAATCCATATGTGCGTATTAAACAATCTTTAATGGTGTGCCTTTATTTAGCTGTTTTTATTTCTTGATATTCTATCTTGTTATTGATCTGCTGTCAGAGAAAAGCACTTAATGCTCCCAGTTTTAAACGTACAATACAAATAACAACTATTCATTTATTCGATGACATCTCCCAGAGCACAACAGCTGACAGAAATCCGTCCATAGTGTCTACTTGTCCTCCCCCTCTATTATTTATAGACAGGCTGGGCGGCCATCATTAAGGTCAAAGGTCATTATAACCCCGTCACTGTGGGCTGATGAATAACGTCTTATCATTAAAAAGAGCGAAATATATGTAGAAATAAACTGTAGTGAAACAGTTTGTAGTGACGCCTGCTCGTTCGATGCAGATACGAATATCGAGCTGTGGGTGCTTATAGTGTAAATATATAAAAAATATTTTAAAAATTGTAATTTTCCATTGAGTGACAGCGGGGGCACCGAAAGGAGGATGTTAGACATTAGCACCGTTAGCTAACACACATTCATCACGGCGCTGGACGGAGAGACAGTTGGATGAGACAGGCACCGGACAGACAGACGACTCACCTGTCATGTAATTCGTCCACTTGTACAGAATCCCCTCCATAGTGTTCCGCTTTACATCGGCTAGCTTAGCCCGTTAGCGTCACCGCTGTAGCTCGACGGGCTATCTAACGGTAGCAGTGAGCTAACTAGCCGGCTAACGCTTCGCTTTTCTCTCGAGGGACAGCGGGTTAGAAAAGAAGCCCCGTCGCGGGCTGCCGGCTGTCTGAAGACGCGTTTAGCGGGGTGAGAGCTGACTGGCAGGGTAACGTCATGCTGTCGTGTGTGTTAACGGTGTTCAGAAACTGGGCAGCTAACTTGTAGACAGTCAGCTGATGGAGGAAGACACAGATGTCAACAAAACCGAAGCCGCTCTACGGAAGCCGGGTGAGGACATTTCACAGGGAGCTTAAAAGCAAAAGGATGAAGTGTTAACATTTTTAATCAAAACTAATGCTGCATTAATGTGTATTTTGTATCTACAGCTCTAAATATTCATGGTCGTGCTACATACACAAAGACAACTTTAAGAACTGGTTTAAGAACAACAGAGAATCCAGAGGCAATTTTAGTTAGTTAGTTAAAAATGAGTCTCATCGCTCTCATCAGTTCAAATGAACCCACTGTTGCCAGGGTGCCGGACGAGTTACACGAGATGAAATTCCCCCACACTGCTCCACTCCTCCGCTCTCTTCACTGGCTACCGGTTTCTGCCCGCATCCAGTTCAAAACACTGGTGCTCACGTACCACGCTGCGAATGGATCAGGTCCAGCTTACATCCAGGACATCAGGTCAAACCCGACATCCCGACCCGCGCTCTCCGCTCTGCGTCTGATAAACTGCTTGTTCCTCCTCACTGAGAGCAAAACACTCGACTAGATCACGACTCTTTGCTGTCCTGTCTCCTAAATGGTGGAACGAGCTCTCTGAAGACACCAGGACCGCAGAGAGCCTTCACATCTTCAGACTCGACCTCCACTAAAAACGTTAAACGAATTGTAGCACTTAAATTGTACTTATAATGGTTCTTATCTACAGCAAGTTGTAAATCGGCTGATTTAATGAAATTCCACGTTCTTGTTCTTTCGGGTTTGTATCCTTATGGTTGAATGCACTTATAGTAAATCTCTTTGGACAAAAGCGCCAGCTGAATGACATGTAATGTATTTATTCATTCAGAAAAAGAAATGCTCCTTACGTAACGACTATACATATTTAGGAAAGTAATGTGTAGAATTCGGTGCAATTCATTGTAGAAAGTGCTTTTATTATACTAATGTTGTTGGGCCACCATTTATATTTTCTAAATGTTCTTTTTAAAAGTAATAATAACCACTAATACGTACTTATTTTATCATTATGGTTATGATTGGGGTTTGACCATGTTATACGGCTGCAGTACAGGTGAACGACCCTCTCAGGAGCAGACTTGTTCTTCACACTGTTTCAGCCTGAAAACCAAAATCACAATTAAATCCTGCAGTTGGAAAACAAGGCCTTTAAACTGAATTCTGGGGCTTTGAGTCGAGCTTTTTCTCGTCACAGAGTGTTTTTCTTTTGAGTAAGTAGACATTTAAATGTTCGGCCTCTTTTCAGGTCGGTTTCTCTCTGCAGGTGAATATTTGTTCCATAAAAGGTAAAGTTCAAAATGCAGTTACACATTAACCGACTGAGACCAACATTTGGTCAAGCAGGACAAACAATATATACAAAAATAAGAATCAGTGATCAAATGCTCATAATTCTTAATCTCTCTTTATTGCATTAGAACATACATTTCTCATATATATCTATATATATATATTTTATAAATGTGAATTTGTACACTACAATCTTTCATTGTAACATGTTAGAAAATACTCGTAACGCTCCAAAAAACATAGCACTAAAAACAGTTACCGAACAATGATTATTACATTTCCTCGTTTTTGTTTTGGCCACCAAGAACAAAAAAAACAAAACGGTCAGTCGGGGGGAGACGGGCGGTTGGACCATTGGGTGCACAGAGGGGGGCCGTGTGTGTTCATGTAAAGTACGTCCGTTCGTTAGTAACCAGCTGTCTGGAGCTTCAGACACGTAACTTAAATTAACTTTGGTTGCACAAAAACAAACCAGTGACTACGTAGAGATTTGTTGTTAATACATTTAATGCAACATTCACACCCAGTACCTGCCAGGTATAAATGTCATGCAGTTAATTAAACTGTTTGTATAAGATAAGATAAACTCATAATACTTAGAGACGTCTGTGTTCATGTAGGATCTGATTATTAAAAGTTATTATTATTAACCTGACATATTTAATAAAGCAAACTCTACACTTAAAAAGGACTTGAAGTCAAGATTAATATACTATTCAACATCTTAAAAGTCAAAACTTGCCCTATAAAGCCACTTCCTGTTGTCATAATTGATTTCTTTTAATTGTGAATGAATGAATTAAGTCCTAACGAGCTACGGCATCTTTCTAAATCTCTAATGGTGCAACTCCAAGTCAAAGAAACTGTCTCTCTTCACTCAGTGGAGGAGTTACGAAGAGATCGGGTGCAACCTCAGTCCAGATGTTTGGTTAAACCTAAGAGGGCAGCAGCAGCGAGGACGGAGGAGGAGGGTGGAGCAGCAGGGGCGTTAAGTTGCATCACACGAGAGACACGGAGGGCGGAGACGGAGGCGGCCTGAGGACCAGCGAGTGACTCTGGGTGCAGTACAACCATCTAACACACAAACACACACACGCACACACGCACACACAGCGCTACGGACACGGCGGCGGGACACTGCAGGGAGGCGTGGGACGGATCTATCTGCATGCAGGAGGGAGGGTGGAGGAGGAGAGAGAGCGGAGGACATGAGTCCCCCCCACGGAATGATCGTCCTCTTGAACAAACCCTCCTCTCGTAAAACCACTTCACTCGGTTTCAAACCTTTGTGGTCTTTTTTTGTTTTGTTTTACTTCTCAGGGATTTCCACTTTCATAACACACAGACACACTAAACCCTGTGACCATAGAGACATTACACACATACACACACACACACACACACCTTCTTGAGAGCCAGTAGTACAGCTCACTGGTTGGTGAGCAGGAAGCAGAGGGCGGGACTACAGCGAAGCTTACAGCCGATTGGCTGAGCAGTCTGTTACCGATATGACATGTTCTCGTATGAACTGTAAAGACAATTATTAGTCCAAGACGTTTGTCTAAGACGTGTTTTCAGATTCGTCGCTTCAGTCTAGAAAACAAGAGGATAAATCATTATATGATTATATAATATATTAACTGTTTTTGTTGCTCTGATGTCTTACGTCACTGATTATCTTCGGGTTTTGAGTTGTTATTTGAAGGAAATGAACCATCAGGCAATTTGAAGAAAATTAGTGAACACAATTTTCTATCATTTTATATGATACCTCCTAATTGGTTTGATCAACCAAGTAATTGGTTGATCAAAAGAATGCAAAAAAACATAATTACAACAAAAATGATTGAAATAGAAGCTCTTGGCATTATGCAAACTCACTTCTGCCTCATTCCAGGTGCATTTGCAGAAGAATATTTATATTTAAGACATCTCATGTGTCCCCCCCCCCGACCCCTCCTCCGCCCTCAGTGAGCAGTGTGGTGGTGTCATGATTCCTAAGGCAGTATCAGTCTATAGAGAAGCGACGGCAGTACAGAACCTCACATCCGCCACCTGGGTTTCTTTTTGTTTTTAAGCCTCCAGGTTGTTTCCGAGTGATCTCAGTTAAAACATTAACAATATTTTGTTTACTGAACCTTGACATTGGGAAGGAACAAGTGAATTGTTGTTATAATCTCCCTTGCTGTGGCTGAAGGCACGTGACGCGTTCCTGACAAATATATTCATGCAACCTCGTAGGAGACAAAGTTATTGCTTCAAGGGAACACGTCGGCGAGCCAGCAGAACAGAAACCTTAAATAGTGAATAGTGGTGATTAAAAGTCCTTCTTTGCTCAGTTGAATAACAAATATCTTGTGTTTTAACATTGTGGCGAGTAGATTAGAATATCGCTCATCTCCACTTACAGATACTCTGGATATGAAGATTTCTATATTGTTTTAGGGAAATATAAAGACCAAACATTTTTTAAATCTAGATAGACGGATTTGGGGTCAATAACAACAACCGTTGGCTAAAAAAACAATGCGTAAAAAAATATATAATCAATTACTTTGATGTCAAACTAAAGGCAGGGCATCACATTAAAAATTGCATTCTTTCGTGACCACAGAGGAGCGTGAAGTGGCCTAAAAGACGTTTTCTAACCACAAACATTTACAGAGCTGCTACTGGACGTTGGGAGGGGGAGCGGGAGGGGGAGGGGGGGTCGACTGTCAGACACGGGGGTTCGGACCCCGGCTGTGACGGCGGTCGGCTTCGGCACCGAGGAGGCGCTCGCTCTCCATCGGGCCCGTTATTTTCTTTATGTCGTGTTGCGATGAAAGAGAGGCTATTAGACAGCTACCTAATACAATGAGGGGAAAACGACTGGAGGGAGGGGGGGGGGGGGTGGTAATGAGGGGGGGGGGGGGGGCCACAACCGACCCGAGCGCCTCTGGTTCTGGTGATATGGTAGCGGTCTATAGCACGGCAGCATCAACACAATGGTCCAATAGACAGATCAGATGGTCCAATACAGTTATAGTACAACATCTATACATCAACTTTACATTGTGCATCTTTTTTTACCGTTGTTGTATTTTTAAGAGGGGCGGGGGGGGGGGGGTCAGGGGGTTAAACTGCGTCCCCTCTACAACACTGTTTTAAGCCCCCAGAAAGGGGGGGGGGGGGGGGTGGTGTGCAGAGCCACGGATAAACAGCGTTAGTCGCTTTAGTCCTTCAGCACCGACAATGTTTGTGCTGCATCCTGCTACTTGGCAACTGTGTGTGTGTGTGTGTGTGTGTGTGCGTGTGCGGGTGTGTGTCGTTTTTGGAAGTATTATGCAAGTTGAGCGGAGCGGCAGTAAAAAAGCATAAAGGCCAGTTTTAGACATAATAATTTAGAGGTAGAGTTTTGGAGCGTTCAGCAGCTGGAATCCATTCAGATCACTTTGGGATGAATGCTGCAGGCGGGCGCACCGGACACTAAACACAGGTCACGCGTGATCCGATCACAGGCGCTTTGACGACGCGGCGAGATCCTCTTAAGTACGAGAGCTCGACGAGTGCTAGTATTAATCGGAGGACAAAAAAAACTTTTTAAAAACTCGACTTTTAGCCCAAATCAGGCGTTTAGCAGATCCCAAACCCTTCCTCCGCCGAGCCGAGGATCCGGATCATCTTCAGTGAGCTTCAGCGGTACGTTTTATACGGCATGTTTTGAACCCTACAGCTTTCTAACAAAACACAACCCTGTCCCAGGGTTGGAGAGGTCCGAACCCGCCGTCTATCCATGGCTCTAGTTCCAAAAGGGGGGTTTGGGTCAAAGGGTCACAGGGGACACTGAGGAGTTAAAGGAGTATAAGGGCAGAGGCTGAAAGGAGCACAGGGGATTACCACACTACGGTTTTCTTTTTTTTTTTTTTAAAGGAGTCTGGATGATGAGGTGTCGACAGTCAGGGTTCACAGCGATGAGATTCTGGATGCGAGAGGTTCAAGAGGACGAGGTTGGCGTGAGTCTGATGGGTCGGTAATGTTAGGATATGACCGTGGCCTCCAAAACTATAGCAGGGTCTTCTATGTCCGCTTTACTCTGAACCATCCTCAGCTCCAGCTGGGGCGGACTGGGCCTCCGACCGGGCCCTGCTAACTCTGAGAGGAGACACAGGGGAAAGAGGGTTGGAAAAGAAAATACAAGTTTGGACAAACTGTGCCGAAGCCACGTAGGAGTCTTTTATGCCACCTGTCATGACTCCAGTTCTGTGATACAATTCAAACCCCTGTAGAGTTTGTTTGTGTGTACCGGCCCGCTCTTAAATGCAACAAGCGCTTTAAACTCCTCGTCGATAGGAGGCAACGTCAACATTTCTACATCCGTCGCTGCTGGACTTTTTCTGTCCTTTGGTGGACAAACGTGTGATGAATGTACACTGAGCGGTGCTTTAATAAAGAAACGGTGTGATGGACAAACTGGGATCCTCCATCAATCCAGTGAGGTCTAATTAAAGAGGTGACAACCGATTTGGTGATTTGGCAGTTTTTCACTAAACGCTGCAAAGGAAAATTATATATACATATAATATGTTAAAAAGACACATCAGCGTCTGTGGAGAGTTAAGTGTTATAAAAGAAGCAGATGTGTTTTTATGACAAACACTGCCGTCAACAAAGCCATTTACAAAACAAACATGTCTGAACACTTCCTGATGAGTCTTCTCACCGTGAGCGTAGGAGATGGTCCTCTGGATAACGTGGTGCATCACTGAAAACGTCTTCTCACAAGCCATCTGCCCAGAGGACAACGGGTCGTTAGCGGTCGATAGCTTTTCTAACCAATTAAGAACTGGCCCCGCCCCCCCCTGGCCCCAGCCCCGCCCACCCTACCTTCAGGTCATCGGGGTAGTGGTGCGTCCACGCCAGCAGCATGGCGGCGAACAGGTCCCCGGTCCCCACGAAGACGGCGTCCACCTTGTGGACCTCCATCCGGACCCTCTGCGTCGTCCGGCTGCCGTCGGGACGAACTGAGCGGCACAGCAGAGAAGACACGTTTTGGTCTCCGCCCCCCTCGCCTCGAGACCGCCGTTATGATGCACACGGGGTGTGGCGCGTACCTTTGCGCTGGCTGCCCAGCGACACGAGGAAGCGGTCTCCCAGTCGGGAGGGCAGATCGGAGGAGGTGATGACCACCGTGTCCGGGCCCATGGCGTGGAGGAGGTCCATGACCTGCGGACGAGTCGGGCGGCGTAGCGATTAACGCGAGAAGAATCGAGCAACGCGGGTAAAGGGAGAAGGGGGGGGGGGTGTGTGTTTACCTCCACGGCGTCTTTCTCTGTGGTGATGTTTTTCCCCGTCAATAATCTACAACACAAGCAAACCGCGATGTCACAAACACTGAAAGAAAACAACACAGAAGGACACGGATTCTCCCGTTGAGGAAGGAAACCTCGGAATAAGTTACTCAAACCGGTTACGGGGAAACTCAGAAGGCCAAAGTGAACCTTCAATATGGCGGAAAAGCTTTAACAAAATCCTGCAGAAGTAGGAAAACACCACCGGGTGGAGTAACTTCACCATGAAGCATGGAGACTTATGTCTCCATGCTTCTTAATGGAGGAGGTACGACAAAGATAAATAGTTATAATAATAATAATAATTATACTCACTCTGCCTCGAACTGGTTAGGGGTGATGATGTCAGCGACAGGCACCACCTTGTTCTTGTAGACCGGATACAGATTCTGAGGGACGTACTGTGGGAGGAGACGCGGCGGTTAGAGTCACATGACACCAAAAAGAAAGACCACGCACGCACGCACACACACACACACACAGTAATCTCACCATAGATCCATGATCGCCGAGGACGGGGTCACACACTGAAAGGACACAAACGAGTCAGACACCCGAGGAGCTCCACGGGGACGCTGCGTGTACTCTGTGTAGTACTCCGTGTAGTACAAGTAGGACCAGCGGGTTCTTACCGTACACCAGGTTGGGGTTGGCTCTCTTCAGCTCCTGAATGATGTCCACTACCATCTCCAGGAAGGACGTGTCTCTGGTGTAACCTGAACACAGTCGTCTCGGTTATTTGTTGGTAATGTCACAAAGCCGTGGAATGAAGCCCACGACGGCGCGCGGCGGCGGCGGCGACGACGTTCTCACCCGTTAAGACGTAGTCGTACTGGTGGACCTTGTTCAGCTTGATTCCCTCGTAAAGGACGTGCAGCTCGTCGGCCGTCAGCACCTGGCCTTTCCAGTGAGAATAACCTGCGGGAGGACGGGAGCCATCGCTTTCTTACACACTCTTCCAGCTGTTGCACAGATGTGCTTCCGTCACACAAAAAGAACGCCATTGTTCTCTGCTTAAGACCCCCCCGCGCCCCCTTATTAACAAACACACCCCCATTGTGTGTTGATGGGGTTTGTGCGTAATTGTGTATCTGGGGTGTGAGCACGTGTTGCGTGTACCGATCCAGATGTGCACGGACTGCGGAATGCGAGCGTGCACGTCGATCTGCGTACAACGACATGTTTGCTGCAGGCCGATGATGTCGCAGCTTCAGGTGAGTCACAGCGGGTCACGTGGTGGTGGTGGTGGTGGGTGGTGATGGGGGTTCTGGTTGCTAAGCAACAAGCCGGGAAAAAGCCAAAGGGGCTGAGAACGAGAGATGAGCAGTCGGAGCGCCGTGTGTGTGTGTGTGTGTGTGTGTGTGTGAGAGAGAGAGAATGAAGGCAGGCCTACTGATAAGAGCTTCTGTCGTCATCATTGCCCCCCCCCCTCACATCCCTTCCTCCCTCTGGCCGTCTCTCTGATTTAAATAAAAATGTCCCGTCTCTCTCTCCGAGATTCCAACGTCGTCTTCAAAATGTCACAGCGGATTACAGACGCTTCCTTAATGAAAATTGAGAAAATGTTAGAAATCCAATTGACGAGATCTGATTAAACCGGCGCATCCTGAGTGTTAAGGTCACTTGAAACCGACGCGGCGGGTGTGAGGAATCGACGGTGACCATGACGACCGAGGACCACGACGGGCATCAGACACCCGCCAGCCACATTCCTGCTAGTTTGTTTGATTTATTAAAGTCTCCTTGTCGTAAACAAAGCAGGTTGCATGTCACCTTAGAAAATGTCTCAGTGAGGTTCCCGTTGAAAGATATAAAAACAGATATATTCCTACTTTCAGTCCTTAATATAATCCTATATTTGCCATAAGGCAACATTCATTAGTTTCCCACACATGTCGGTACCCAGAAGCTTTGCACCGTGTCATAAGTGTGTAGTCATCGAGCTGAAGACCGAGCAGAGAGTTCCTCAGGACGACTCCACTGGCTTCGGCATCAGACGGAGGGAGGAAGCCTGTGTGTGAAGTGTGAATGAATGAGTGTGTGTGTGTGTGTGTGTGTGTGTGTCCCAGCTGCTCGGAGGTCAGCCAGTGAGGTCTCTGACCTCCCCGAAAAACATGACTCACACAGCCGTCCCCTCGTCAGCCTGCAAGGCGTCCAATCCGATACCGGCTGACACCCCCATCACCACCCCGGGGATCGGACTGACTCACACACACACACACACACACTCATTAAGAAATATGCTATTTTAGCGTCTCACCTGTGTGGTTGGAGAACTGGACGGAGTTGATGGAGTCCACCTCAAACCCTAAAACCTGCAGGTCAGAGAGAGGAAATACAGGGTTTGTAAGCGTAGTAGTGCAAATACGCCACAAAATGTACACAAATGTACACAAAATGTACATGCGATGTCGCTACCGAGCACACGTTTTGTCCATAAACATGCAATAACTATATAACTGATACTATACATTTGCTCCTCTCAGTAAGAAGAGAAGAGTCTCCTTAAAGCAGCGTCACATGACAGGAATATAGTCCAAACCATGGTGGCTGCTCCCGTCTCGTTTTTTTATTTAGACGATTACTTTAATTACCAGAAGGGGCGAGAGGAAGTCGATTGTTCTCGGGACAACGTTTTCAATTAGGCTGAAACAGGAAGTGAATGACTTCTTTGTTCTTTTCAATCAGCCGCCCCGTTGAGGTCAAACTGTCACAACATAATATGATCTGAATATAATGTGATTATGACTCGTCTTCCTCTGAGAGGTATTGTGTTCATCGGCTGAGCTCAGCGTCCTCGTTGAGGAGTCCGTCCTTTGAGGTCAGACCAAGGACGCTGCAGTTCACGCCCTTTTAACGGCGTCGCTGCTGGGCCGCGTGACCCCCCCCCCTCCCGCCCCGCCCCCTCCTTTTCTCCGAGGAGGCACTTTGTCACCCAATCCCCGATGAGGGAGGCCCGGGAAGAGTTTGGGTACTTGTACGCTGTGTTTATCGGGGAATCAGCGGAGCGTCTCCTTGGCTGAGCTCCTCTACGTTCATTCACGCGTCTGCGTTAGCGGCTCGCGGCGATGGCCTTTGCAGACGCAAGCGGCGATGTTTCCCGCGTCCACCATTGAGCCCGTTGGCAGGAAAACATCCGCTGGAACGCACGACACACACAAAGAGCCGCCGAGGCCGATGGGAACGCTCTTTGTTTGCTGGGTTTTGTTCGTTAACCAAAGTGAGAGTACAGAAAATGGTTCAAGTCCCTCCGCCGGGAACCGGGAACCATTTAGTAGATTGTCTCCTCCTGGACCAAAAGACACGTATTTTCAGTGAGACATAAGACTTGCTAAATCTCTTCAGTGATTTATCAATAAATCGGTAGTTATCTGTCCATCAAGTGATCGATCCATCAAAACAACTTCAGGCCTCGGGCACAATTGAAGCTCTGAACTCAAGACAATGAAGAAGAAGTGTCCTTACGGCGGTTTGGACATTATAAAGCAAGGCTCCTCATCGACGCCCCTCCGGGTAAAAGCACAAAGACGAGGACGGCAGCAGCGCAGCGAGAACAAACCACGGCGATAACACGCGTCAGCAGATATCCAAGCTGGCTGAAGTGTCCTTGAGCAAAGCACCGCTTCTGACACGCGGCTTTTCACCCAGAGGATAAAGAGAGAAGAAATAACGGTACTAAACTATTTGAAACATAATCTGTCATCATCAACCGGGGGGCCAGAAGACAGTGGCTGTCTCCATCCCCAGTGACGTCATCAGGAGGAATCCTGTGGCGGCCAATCAGAGCGCCGCTTCCTCTCACCGCTGTCGCCTGACACACGCAGAGAGAGAGAGAGAGAGAGAGAGAGAGAGAGAGAGAGAGAGGTAGGGATCCCCCGCACGCCTGCTGACATCATCATCATCATCATCATCCTTTATCTTAAACACCAACTAAATCAGAGCAGTGACTGTGAGCAGTCGGAGCAGCTCCGTCACCGGCTCAAGCCTCCGTGGTGGTGGAGTCATGAAGGGACAGCAGAGATATATCAACCGAACACACTCGTACCCCCCCACAACCCCCCCCACCCCTCCGTCTGATTACACAGCACTTTGACTGGATTTGTCTCCAGCTGCATTTTACATCGTTATTAATCCTCTTCACGTCACCTCTTCTCGTCTCCGGAGATTTGAGAGTTCCTGAGACTCTTGAATGAAATGAAACATAATCAGACATCAGAAATGTAGAAATGTCTTAGAAACACCCTGGTGGAGCAGCACGCCGGGTGCAATGTCCTGGTTAACATCAGTGTCTACTGGGAGCTGCACTGGGAACACTGGTGAACTCCATTCACACGTCAGCCTGCTGCAAACAGGCCCCAGTCCTCCAGAGTCGCCCCCCCCCCCCCCCCTCCCCCCCTGTGACATGCATGAAAACCCAGCAGCCATTAGGGCAACCACAAACCATTGTGAAAAACGGGGGGGGGTGGGGGTGGGGGGGTGCAAGGGGCTAAAAATAACCTCCGCCCTTTTAGTAAAACAGCGCCTGTCTTTTGATGAAAGACGTGCTGCCGTGGTCGCCGGGGACCACTTCGCTGCTCAGGGCACCGAATGAAGAAACAAAAAACGGAAACAATCGGCGGCATCGCCGTGGCGATCGGCGTGATCACCCTGCCGGCAACGCTAGGTGACCTCTGTGCCCCTCCTCGGGATATCAAATAAATGAGTTGGGAGTTATTCCTTCTGCTACAAACTCTGCCTTCAGGGCTCTATCGATACGGTTAATGACAATCACTGTTATTATTAACGAGCATAATGCACGTGGTCTCTTCAGATGACCCCCTCCGTCCCCGTCGAGGAGGGGAGTCACATGAATGATTATGCTCGAGGAGCCAAACATTCACCAGGACACATCCGTCTTCTGTCTGCAGGTCGGCCTCGCCATGATTCAGGGTAACCTTTAGCACGATGCAGGGAATCGATAAGCCTGCAGTTTACTAATGTTTAAGCCAAGTTGTCCTCATACACTTATTATGTAGAATCTCTACATTTAGAGATGAATGAGCAGATTTACACAATGACTCCGGAGCTACCAGACTTCAAAAACGGAGAGTTGCGTGGTCGCCGTGACGCGCAATAGCACGTGCGCACAACCGCAGTCACAATCCGGCAACGCGTTCAACTGTCAGGAGGCAGACGAGCGATCATGGTGAAGAGAGCTGTGAGGGACACGTTAACCCCCCAAGTATGTAAACAGCAGCAAACATCTGTATCAACTACATGTCTGATCTGTTGTACGAAACTGAAGGTTATCACTGAGGGAGGCTGGATTTAAGTCCAGATGTTCTCACACACACACACACACACACATTGTGACCATTACAGCTGTCTGTGACCCCCCGTGACTGGTTAACACATTCTGGGTACACATTTCCCTCTAGCCCGTACGTTTATCATTACCTAGCTATTTTTGAGTTTCGACCCGAGTAGGGGTCATTGGAGTAGTATCAGCAGCAGGAGGAGGAGGTCCATTATCGGACACCACGCAGACGCCTCGTTTATAACGTCGAAGTTTGCTCCACAGCCGCTAAATAGCTCTTCAGTTCATCCGGTTATTTTCCATAGAAACCCCCCCCTTACCCCACAATGACAGGTGTCGTGCCACATGTATAACGTCAGATAAAGGCTAATAAAACGTGGCTAACGAGAAAGGGGAACAGGAGACGCGCGCAATGTGCAGCACACCTGCACGATTACTGCTCGACACCGAGGTGACAATCCGCTGTTTGGGGATTTTTTTGTGTCTTTAGCGGAAAAACGACCGCCAGATGCGACGAACTCCGCCGATTTGTGTTCGCGAAGGTCGGGCGAACTTTGTTCGGCTCAACGAGGCTGCACGTCGTGATGTGCACGACTCGGCTTGCCGATGACGGGAAAGTCGCAGTGAAGATTTTGAGGACACGCGCGTGTCAGACGGGAGGGGGGGGGTCGTGTCGTTTTCGACCCCCCCCTCCGTTGTCCGAGTATGGGTGCATGTCGGTTGTGTTTACCTGTAATGGGAAAGAGGCGCTCTTGTTGCCCACGTATCCCCGGACTACATGGCTCTGTATGGACAGAACGCGGCATTCCATGGCGGCTCCCGGTCAGCCGGAGGGAGGGAGGCGGACTGAGTATAATCCGTTACTTCCAACGTCAGTCGCGTCAACACATAACCGAGCAGAGGAGAAGGAACAACTTCGATTTAAAAAAAAAAAACAGCGCTGTCAGTTAGCGAAGAAGCGACGGTAGCTAAGCTAAGCTAGCTAGCTAACCAGCTCGTGCGGCGGTTGTAGCGGGTGATGTGCAGTGAGCGAGTGTGTTTGATGGTGGGAGAGAGAGAGGGAGAGACGGGGGGGGGGGAGAGAAGCGTGTGGCACGAAAGGCAGACACGCGCACGCTCGCCGGTATTCTGCGCAGGCAACGTGAGGGACCGCCCGAATCCAGTGACGTCACCGCAGGGCCACTTTCAGCGCATCCGAATCAACACAGCTGGAGGTGAATGGATGTGAGTGACGCTCTCCCCGTTTTTCTATCGCATGTTGTTACATCACTCTACACTTTACACCGCCGAATTATTCATGACGGTGTTTTACATTCAGGCATCATCCCGATGTGTATTTCTCTGCCAAAACAAAAGGACACAGTTACAACAAATACTTGGTATTGTTAGTCTTTGTGCGGTGTGTGTGTGTGTGTGTGTTAATGTGTAACTGGTTGTGACTCACACCATCTCTAATCAGAGTCGTGACTGAGTGGGGTTCTGACTTGACAAAGATTGCCTCTGTGACCACACACACATACACACACACACACCTCTTTTATTGTGAAAGCACTGCTTTAATTACAAAGAATATGAATGCTATAACTATCATGATTGCACAATACAAAAAAAGCCAGGCGTGTTATTTCGTTTTTCAATGAAAAAAATAATCGAGTTTGAGGAGGAACATAACGAGGGTGTGGGTGGGTGTCATGGATCATTTGGAGTCCTGGTCCAATTGTGGCTCTGAAGAGAAAACTGCAGAAGTTATTTTAAGTTTGTTTTTCTTCTAAAGACTAAATCTTACAAGTAACGAGTAACCACTTTAGAAAGTGGGTATTTTAGACGCTGTTGTTTAATTGTATTTTAAACACAAAAGGAACATGTTGAAACACGTCTCAGTCTGCTGTCCTCGTGCACTTTGCTCTCAACTCTCCATCATTTGACGGCAATGTTTGAAGAGCCAACAATGTCCCGACGTTTAGCCAGGACATTTTAGGGCACCAGTGATGATCCTCTTCATTGTCCCGCGCAGGGTAGATATTGAGATGGACATCCTTGTCTTTTCAGTGAAATTAAATATAATTATAAATATAATATAATCAGGCTTGTCCTGAACAAGATCCTTTTGAATCCTTATGAGTTTAATGTCTGCGTAGCCCTGGCACAAAATTCATTTAGACATCAGGATGTAAATCAACAAGAAGGTCCTGGGTTCGACTCCATTGGCCTTTCTGTGTGGAGTGTGCATGTTCTCTCCAGCTACTCCGGCTTCCTCCCACAGTCTAAAGACATGGCTCTGGAGATCAGGTTAATTGGGGACTCTAAATTGCCCGTAGGTGTGTGAATGGTTGTATGTCTCTGTGTAGCCCTGTGATTGACTGGTGCCAACGTTAGCAGCCAACAGTAAAGAATTTATTGTTCTTAAACATGGTGGCAGCCAAACCAGCCACATGCTTCTTTCCCTCTCCCGATCCCGATGTTTTAAAGAGGCCGGCTCTGATGGTGCACCCAAAGATGGATCCTCGAGTAAGTCGTCTGCTGGGCTGCCTGCAAAATGCAGAAAGAACGATACAGGCCACCAACAATGGTCAGGGATGTAACACCGATTAAAGATTGAATTTGTTTTGTTGTTTATGATTGCTCTTGAAATGCTTGCTGTTCTTCATTTTCTTTACACTACATTCGCTGGTGGTTTGATGAGTATAGCGTGCATTCCTCTGTCACTGTCACCATGGTAATGAGATATTTCTTCATATTGCACAATTAATAATGCCACAATTGGAGTGGGCGGGACCGGGGGTGTTTGTAGGTGAAGTAATCGGTGTGATGTGGACTGGGAATCACTGCTAGTTGGATCTGCACCCGTAGACTTCTTCCGAGCTCTGTTACATATGTGCAAAAGCCATTAAAATGCTTTTAAAATTAACCCAACGTATGTTCTCTCTCTTCTGTGTGTGTGTGTGTGTGTGTGTGTGTGTGTGTGTGTGTGTGTTTCATAGATAAAATTAAAGCACAGCCCACAAATGTATCTAGTTCTTAATTTACAAACATGCATTTTGGAGGGTACCCTTCGCTTAGTGTACATAAGCTTGGAATGAATGTGTAGTTAACTAAATGAACATTTTCAGATAAAAAGTCTGTATGCACAGACCTGAAAATGATAGCGTGTGAAAAGGAACACAGCTTGGTACACGCCCACCTGTATGAATTATGTAATATCCATGTAAAACACGCTGCTGTTAACAGAAAAAAACATATTTTTCCAAAGAAATAAGAGATGCAACAGCCTCACTTTTGGAGTGATTCCAATCTTTAATTTCAGCCTCTTTCTCCATTAAGATGCAAATTCCCAGGCTGTTTAGCTGTTTTTTGTGCTTTATCCTCAAGATGGTGCAAAAGGACCAGAGGAGCTCAGTGAATAGTTTTTAATCCAAACATGTGAGGTAAACTTTATTCATTCTCTACCTTCACAGAAAGAGGTTTGGATCTTGAATAAACAAGTTTATTGCATAGTTTTAATCAGACTTCAGGCTACACAACGGCTTTTTCAAGACATTCTTCCTACAGCATTTTGAAGAATTCTTCATGAGATATTTTCATGTGTTTTTGTGCTATTTCGCTCTTTGAAACAAATAAATAGTTTAAATCAAATATCTTCTCAGTTACAGACAGACAACCATGTGTCTATGACATGAATCAAATCTTTACTCCCAGTTCACAACATCTGTTATGATCAGAATGATTTCAATCAGCAGTTTCCTCATAGCAGCTTAATCAGACCAACGATAACCAAGCGCGTTACACTTTGTCCTTTAAAAGGGTTGAATGGTATTGTTTAACCTGAATCATCAGAGTTACTGAGGCATCAAAGACACAAATACAAACCATCCTTTAGTTGATGTCCCGACATGGGCGCAAGACAGGGGACAATTCAACTTGATTTTGGGAAGAAATTTGTTTTCCATTCCAGAAAAGCGTTACCTTCAATCATTACATCACAACACAAGCGGAGGGATTGTGGTTGTAGCACTTTTTAAAAGTTAGAGAAAATGAACAAATGAGTTAAACATGAACGAGCAATCAGGAGGTAGTGCACTCCTAAGGCAACATGTGAATCACATGACCTTCCTCACTCTGAGCTCACTGAGCTCTGGCGCTCAGGACAAAGTGTTTGCCACATGACTTATTTCCTGGAGTAATCCAAAAGAAAATATGACTTCTGGACAAAACCACTGAGATAATGGTCACAAAAAAGAAAATATATATATATATTTCAAAGCATAAATAATAAAAAAATATTTGGAAGAAAATCATTATTAAAACATAATTCCCCCCCCCCCCCCAAAATGCTCAAATAAATGAAGACAGAAAACGCCACATATGTTATTTCCCACAATGATAACGTCTGAAGGAAACCAGCATCATAACATATTGTCACAAAAAAAACAGGTCAGTGGATATGAATATATGTTTCTTTCTTGACTTGCTGCAACATGTTTTTGACAATGCTGTTTTTTAAAATCTACCTGGGGGGAGTTACAGTATGCAAGCAGGCAGGTTTTACTGGCTATTCTTACCCACAATCCTTTGCACATCAGATATATGAGCCAGGGTTTGGGCTGCCAAGTTATGAGGAAGTAGTAGGACCCAGTTTGTCCTCAAGGTAAATGAATAGGCCCACAGCTTAAGGCTGATACGTGGGTAAATTGTCCCACTCCGACCGGTTCAACAGATCATCAAAGTGGAATGAAGAATAAAAACTCTCAGGTCAGACTCTGTTGTCTTAGGGAACTTTTTTTTAATATAAACTCTTCACAACATTTGTTACAAAGGTTTCTGCTTCATCATCTGTTCCCTACTAGTCTACATGTAAAGGAAGACCAGGTGACAAAGAGGGGCGTGCACAGGTCCTCTGAACTATCTGGTCCAAACAACAGCATCCAGTCTGTTGTCATGGCAACTCTTTACAAGGTGAAATAATTTTTCCACAAATGCTGATTTTGATCCTGAAAGATGTTGTTTGAGGAGTGAGGAGGATTCTGTTCACGAGGAACTTTTAAGTCTGTGAGCAAAGCTCAGACCGAGACTCAGTCAACCAGTCGTACTGCATACTTTGGTGACGTGAGGACACACACTGTCTCTGACGAAGGACAACAAGCTGCGTCACTTCACTCCGTCTGATGGAAGTTGAAGTGAAGCACGGAGCTCCTTTTCTACACGGACCTGCTGAGGACAGAAGAGAGCTGCACACTGAGGAGGTTCATGTCTACGAGCTCAGTAAGTGGAGCTGTGATTGGTTGAATGACATCATTGATGAACGTGTGATGCGTGAACGTGTTTAAAGCTGCTTTTAAAAACCTCAGCTGGGAAACAAGATGGCGCATCTGTGAGCAGGCAGAGAAGCTGCTGTTATTATGGATGATGATGATGTGATGAAGAAGATGAGCTCAGTCTGATCTGGGTTCTTTGAGGACTGTTACTGATGAGGAGGGGAAGGTAGCAGCCGGAGGGGCACTAAGACCCAGCAGGAACCAGAGAGCTCACCTTGTCCTGCACTGAAACACACCTGAGAGACTCTGTGTTTGCTCTCACCTGCTGATTCAATCCTTAAGTGTCCCATGAGTGTTTTAATATTGTGGTGAATGAGCTCTGCGTGTTTGTGCTGATGAAGAGAAATAATGTGTGAGCTCTCCCAGCAGGTTGTTGTGAAGGTGTGGACTCTGCTATGAATCAGGGTGAGGACCCACAGGAGGGAGTCCCTCCCTCTGAAGCCCCTCTGAAGAGTGGGGAACATGACAGGCAGACCAAAGCTCAGAGGTGAGATGTCTCTCTCTAAATGTCCTCCACTCTTCTCCATGTCCCAACGTCTTTGATTCACTGACTCTGGTTCGACATGTTTGACCAGGACCCATCAGAGACCACAACCTGGACCTGGTCTTCGATCTGGACCTGAACCCAGCTGTGTGTCCATGAAGAGTAACAAGTCTATTGATCCTCTTCTAAACTTCAAAAATGGCCGTCACGTTGTTAATGCAAGGTGAGGATCTCAGGCTGATGATGAAAGCAAAGTGATGAAGTGTTTCTATCAGACTCTGTCTTTGTGAACTCAGACTCTATGGTGGAGGTTGTGGGTGCCTTGCTCCAGGGCCTTTCAGCAGGAGGGCTTGGTGACAGCTATTAGGACTAAACCAAACCAAACAATGAGCTTAAAGTCTGAGCTGTTGGGACTAAACCAAACTGACTGGTGAAGAAAACAGTGAGCTGAAAGACTGAGCTGTTGATGCTCAGTGGGATCAGCAGGACCAAGTAGACCTAAACCACTACAGGGAGTCATGTGGTCCACATCTAGACATCACATCATGGCCTTTAACATTTTGATCTCTGTGAGGACGAGACCATGTGAGCTGATGCTTCGTGATTAAATGATGATGTGATGACAAAACCTCAGTGTTTCTTTCAGTTCAGATCAGCAGAGAAGAAAGTCTCCTGAATCCATGAAGAGTGATTGGCGTAAAGATGTTCTGAATTACTTCGAAGATCGACGCCGTTCTTATGACCCAGAGTAAGTTCTTAAACAGATAAAACAGATGATACACTGTTTGGTTCCTCAGTTATGAATGACAGAAATAGTTGTGCATTGTTTAAAGTGTTTTCATGACGATCAATAATAACAGAACTCATCATCTTTATCTAATTGGTCTGTATGTGTTTTAGTGTAAATCATTAACTGTAAACTGTCTCACAGTAATCCCAATGTGAGCTAGTTCCTCCACAGAGTGGATCAGGAGAGGTCACATCTTGAGATAGCTTCGGATTTCTGGAGAATGATGACTGGGACTGAAATGTGATTAGAATGAATTTAGTGCTCTGTGGACTCGATGCAGGAGGTTTGGAGAAAGTATTGTCAGTGAACTCTGTGAAAAGGTCAAAAGCCTAGTTTCAGAAAATCTAAGGAACAGTTATTATGAATGCATAGTAGAGGTCAGGGGACGGACTGAAGACCTCAGAGAGCATTCACATCTTCCGCTGCAAACTAAAGACACACGTCTTCAGACTCTACCTCGACTAAAAGACTAACAAATTGTAGCACTTTATAAATTGTACTTGTAACGCCACTCATTTATAGCAAATTGTAAATTGGCTTATTTGAGGAAATTGCACTTTCTTGTTTCTTGTTCTTCTGAGTTTGTATCCCTATGGTTGAATGCACTTATTGTAAGTCGCTTTGGATAAAAGCGTCAGCTAAAGGACATGTAATGTAATGTAAAGAGGTTTGGAGTACTTTCATAAGACTTTGTATCAGATGCAGAGGTCTGGAGACGTTTTTATGTCATTACATTACATTACATTACATGTCATTTAGCTGACGCTTTTATCCAAAGCGACGTACAATAAGTGCATTCAACCATAGGGTACAAACTCAGGAGAACAAGAAACAAGAAAGTGCAATTTCCTCAAATAAGCCAATTTACAATTTTCTATAGATGAGTGACGTTACAAGTACAATTTAAGTGCTACAATTTGTTAGTCTTTAGTCGAGGTAGAGTCTGAAGAGGTGTGTCTTTAGTTTGCGGCGGAAGATGTGAAGGCTCTCTGCGGTCCTGATGTCTTCAGAGAGACCCACAGTAAGTACTAAAAACAGATGAAACCATCACACAACTAATCATCGACAGTCTTCAACATCTGGTTTTCATAATGATCAATCATGACAGAAGCCAAATATCTTTGACTAGCTGTTGGTGTCGATGGTACAAACACCATGTGAGCTGATGGTTCATGATTAAATGATGATGTGATGATGTAATCTTTGTGTTTCTTACAGTTCACATCAGCATAGAGGAAAGTCTCCTGAACCCAGCTGTGTGTCCATGAAGAGTGATTGGTGTGAAGATGTTCAGAATTACTTCAGAGATCGACGCTGTTCCTTTAATCCAGAGTGAGTTGTTAAACAGAGCAACTGTTCTGATCGTTAGTTATGAATGACAGAAATGGTGTTGTCAGATGTAAAGACAATGTGAGCTAATTCACCCACAGAGAGCACCAGGAGACCTCTGAGGTTCCCACAGGTCAGTCTGACCAGCAGCAGCAAACACACCTGGATTCCATATTCATGGTGTGTACATGTACAACTACTTTTATCTCTCAGTTCAGAATCATCTCTGCACTTTGTAGATCAGTGGGTTATCAGTCTGTCCAACATGGACCTGATGTTTACTTCCATGGTTTTAGTTTGTTTCATTCATAGAATATTCTGTTCCAGCTGCTGGAGAAGAACATCCTCACTTTTGTGAAAAAACAGCTGAAGAAGATCCAGAAGGTTGTGAGTTCAGATTACCCAGAACGCTTAGAGAGTCAGAGGGAGGATGAGGAGTTGCTGGATGGTGAGGATGAAGAGCACAGGAGGAACAAAGAGGCATTTGTGAAGATCTCAGTGCGCTTCCTGAGGAGAATGAAGCAGGAGGAGCTGGCTGACCGTCTGCAGAGCAGTAAGGGGATTTCTCTAAATGGCCAATAGGTCGATTGCGATCGACCAGTTGATCACGTCACGCATGTGCAATCGACCGCGGCTCTGACTCTTTCAAAGTCAGATTCACAAATATATGAATTCAACAAAGTAGCATAAATTCACCATTCAACTGGCTGCTTGCACTTCGACTACCGGTTATGTTTCATATCCCTTATTTTATATTATTTTATAATACTGGGCAGATGAAATCAAGCGTTCTGATTGGTTGAGAGTGAGTCACGGGGTGTACTGAATTGAGCTATAATGTAATGTTACCTGTTTACATTGACCTGAGCGTTCATATCAGTGCTGTGAAATAACGGTTAGATTTTGCGCGACCGTTGGTTGTCATTTCAGTTCTTAGCTCGGTGGCGATCGCCTAAAAACAGCCCGGAAACTGTGGAAATGAGCAGTTTTGTGTAAATCGCAACCGATTTAGGGCACTTTTTAGCCAAAAGAGGAACATTCAAGTGAATGAATGAGACGCACAAATTAATGTCGATCTCCTTGCTAATCATTAACCAACTTCTGGTGCTAAGCTAACAAACGTTCCCAATGTTGTTTGTCTGTTGCCTCCTTACCGCTTTTTAACTGCGCCATTATGAAGACTAACATTCGTGAAATACAGGACCCAGACTATGGGATGTGAGGACATGTGATAAAACTGTACAAACATTACAGTGGTGACCACTATAGAGACATTAATTGCACATGCTCCAATTGAGCAAAAACATGAGCAGCACAATCGGGTTTATGAGGGATTGCGCAATCCGAGAGGAGGCGCAGCTCGCCGCTGCCGCCTCCCCGTATTTGAACAGGAAAATAGATAGAAATTCAGCAATTTTGACTATAACAATCATTGGATTGATTGGGATCTAATAATTACACTTCTATCACATATCAGTGGACAAATATATATATATTTTAATCATCATAATTTTTTTCACATTTCATGATGACACGAGGGGAGGCACTGCCTCTAAATACTTACCATGCTGGATAAATGAGACTAATTCACGTCTTCATGTCTTAAGAGATGGACCACAATATAGTCATAGTCATTCTTTGAGGACATGAAATCTAATCTTTATTCTCTCATTGATCTTCTTTGTTGTCTTCATTCAGGACTCAACGCAGTTTGTCAGCGTGAACTCAAATCCAACCTGAAGAAGAAGTTCCAGTGTGTGTTTGAGGGGATCGCTAAAGCAGGAAACCCAACCCTTCTGAATGAGATCTACACAGAGCTCTACATCACAGAGGGAGGGACTGCAGAGGTCAATAAAGAACATGAGGTCAGACAGATTGAAACCGCATCCAGGAAACCACACAGAACAGAAAAAACCATCAGACAAGAAGACCTCTTCAAAGCCTCAGCTGGAGGAGAGGAACCAATCAGAACAGTGATGACTAAGGGAGTGGCTGGCATTGGGAAAACGGTCTTAACACAGAAGTTCGCTCTGGACTGGGCTGAAGACAAACACAACCAGGACATACAGTTCACATTTCCATTCACCTTCAGAGAGCTGAATGTGCTGAGAGAGAAGAAGTTCAGCTTGGTGGAACTTGTTCATCACTTCTTCAGTGAAACCAAAGCAGCAGGAATCTGCAGGTTTGAAGAGTTCCAGGTCGTGTTCATCTTTGACGGTCTGGATGAGTGTCGACTTCCTCTGGACTTCCACAACAATGAGATCCTGACTGATGTCACAGAGTCGGCCTCAGTGGATGTGCTCCTCACAAACCTCATCAGGGGGAAGCTGCTTCCCTCTGCTCGCCTCTGGATAACCACACGACCTGCAGCAGCCAATCAGATCCCTCCTGAGTGTGTTGGCATGGTGACAGAGGTCAGAGGGTTCACCAACCCCCAGAAGGAGGCGTATTTCACGAAGAAGTTCAAAAAACAGAAGCAGGCCAGCAGGATCATCTCTCACATCAAGACCTCACGAAGCCTCCACATCATGTGCCACATCCCAGTCTTCTGCTGGATCACTGCTACAGTTCTGGAGGAGGAGTTGAAGACCAGAGAGGAAGGAGAGCTGCCCAAGAGCCTGACTGAGATGTACATCCACTTCCTGGTGTTTCAGTCCAAAGTGAAGAAGTTCAAGTACGATAGGGGAGTTGAGACGGATCCACTCTGGAATGAGGATAGTAGGAAGATGATCAATTATCTGGGAAAACTGGCCTTTGATCAGCTGCAGAAAGGCAACCTGATCTTCTATGAATCCGACCTGACAGAGTGTGGCATCGATATCAGAGCAGCCTCAGTGTACTCAGGAGTGTTCACTCAGATCTTTAGAGAGGAGAGAGGGCTGTACCAGGACAAGGTGTTCTGCTTCGTCCATCTGAGTGTTCAGGAGTTTCTGGCTGCACTTTATGTCCATCTGACCTTCTTCAGCTCTGGTGTCAATCTGCTATTAAAAGAACAAACAACCTCCCCGTGGTCTAAAGCCTTTAGAGACAAACCTAAACCAAAACGTTTCTATCAGAGTGCTGTGGACAAAGCCTTACAGAGTCCGAATGGACACCTGGACTTGGTCCTCCGCTTCCTCTTGGGTCTTTCACTGGAGACCAATCAGGCTCTCCTACGGGGTCTGCTGACACAGACAGGAATTAGCCCACAGTACAGTCAGAGAGCAATCCAGTACATCAAGGAGAAGATCACTGAGAATGTGTCTCCAGAGAAAAGCATCAATCTTTTCCACTGTCTGAATGAACTGAAGGATGGTTTTCTAGTGGAGGAGATCCAACGGTCCCTTAGTTCCGGACGTCTCTCCACAGATGAACTGTCTCCTGCTCAGTGGTCAGCTCTGGTCTTCATCTTACTGTCATCAGAAAAAGATCTGAAGATCTTTGACCTGATGAAATACTCCGCTTCAGATGAGACGCTTCTGAGGCTGCTGCCAGTGGTGAAAACCTCCAGCATAACTCTGTAAGCAAAGAGAGCATTAAATTGAACATCATAACCTCAATATGCTGCCGTCTTTTCTACTTTGATTTTTCTTCATCCTTATCTCTTCAGACTGCACGGCTGTAACTTGTCCGAGAGAAGCTGTGGGCCTCTGTCCTCCGTTCTCAGCTCCCGATCCTCTAGTCTAAGAGAGCTGGATCTGAGTAACAACGACCTGCAGGATTCAGGAGTGAAGCTGCTGTCTACTGGACTGGAGAGTGCACACTGTGAACTGGACACTCTCAGGTCAGGATCTAATTAAACCTGTTGCACTCTAAAGGGGCATGCTTCTGCGTCTTTACGCACCGTCGTGTCGACGCACTCGTTTCAATTCATGGTTCTAAAAGTCTTGCGTGTGTTCCAGAGCGATTCACCGCCAGAACAACAGGTGGAGTAACGTTTTTTGTCGAAGACGACCTAGAGAGTCACATCTTTGTTTGTGTGGAAGTCGTTGGTTTGTTTATTTATTTATCATAGACTTTATTGCCCCGTGCATCCACACTGCTGCTTTTCATCACGGACACATTTGTCCCGTATTTTCCTCCCCAACTTTGTGCACCTCTCGCCCGGCAAACCGACGTTTGTGGAGATCTCCCTCCATGAATCAGAGGCCATCCGCGCATCCTTATAGTCCGCCAATGACGACTTGTATAAGTGGTCATATTTACGCATTTCTTCCCACAAAAGCTCTTCAATCTGATCCGTTCTCTCGTAAACATTATTCGTTTTAATAATGGCGGTATTGGTCTATGAAAGCGGAAATGTGAGACTCCGGTAAGGATGTAGTTAGCAGACCAATCGCAGCCTTGTGCGCTGTGATTGGTAACTTCATAATTTTGTTCAAAACGTCAAAGGTAAGAGGCATTCATGATGCTTGGTGGTTATTTTTGCTCTGGTTTTGAAAAATGATACTTACATTACTGTTTTCAGTGCTGTCTCAGCTGGCCTTCAGTGTGCCGTTTTCTTTGTTTCCATTTGGCTTCGCTGAGAAATGTTACAAATGCACTGCTATGTAGACTAATTTGTGTATCATAATTTAAAACTGGCTGGAGTTGTGTTAGGTGTATTTTAAACAGATCGGTAAATATTGTAACCAAGACTCATTCATATTTTTTCTTTGTGATGAGTACACGATAACCCTGTTTTGGCTCGGTTCTGGCTTGTTTTTTACCAAATTTCGCAACCCTCAGGTGCAACAGGTGTCTTTATTTACATCGATGGTACATTTTTAACATTTCTTCAGTAGCTGACAGTGTCTCAGTACGGCAGTGACCTTCCGGCCCTCAAAGGTCCCTCAAATCATGTGACAAATAGGTTGTTTCGTGTGTTCACAGGCTGTCGGGCTGTATGATCACAGAGGAAGGCTGCGCTTCTCTGGCCTCAGCTCTGAGCTCCAACCCCTCCCATCTGAGAGAGCTGGACCTGAGCTACAATTATCCAGGAGACTCAGGAGTGAAGCTGCTGTCTGCTGGACTGGAAGATCCACACTGGAGACTGGAAACTCTCGGGTAGGAAGAGGCCTGCTGCAGCCACAGACATAATGGGTCTGGTAGAGGAGGTGGAGCTGGAAACCTGTTCTCTGCCCCACTGTCAGCCTGGTTGATATGACCCTGACACCCCAAGCTGACCTCAAGCCCCCAGAGACAAATCGTTTGTGTCTCACATCAGACCATCAATACAGACAGAAGTAGTGAGGGAACAGTAGCCAGGATGAGCCAAAACAGGGAGGAAGGTGATGAAAAGCTTGTTTTATATCATGATAGACAGGACATGATAGACAGGACTACTTTAAAGGGTGATCACATGTCACATGCCACGTGCCACAAGTGGACAAAGAAACCACTTGATGCAGGTTTGAACATTTAATTTAGTGACTTACCGGTGAAGAAAATATGTCTGAAATGGAAGATAATTATCAGTATAACACTGATAATAATAAGTGAACATAATGAGCTGCGATTATCGGCCAATCAGAAGAAGCTCCACTGACGTAAGAGAATATGAGCTTATTCATAATATGTCTTCCATGTGAACATGAATAACAAAGCTCTGTATATGAAAGTGGGCGGCATGGTGGTGTGGTGGTTAGCACTGTTCCACTCCGCCCAGTAGCCTTTCTGTGTGAAGTCTGCATGTTCTCCCCGTGTCTGCATGCGTGCTCCGGCTTCCTCCCACAGTCCAAAGACATACTCTGGAGATCAGGTTAATTGGTGACTCTAAATTGCCCGCAGGTGTACTGTTAATTTATATTGCACACATTTCTGTCACGGTGTGGTTCACTTCCTGTTGTTTTGTAGTTTTCTGCCACTCGTGTCCCCGGGTAACTTCACTTCCTGCCTTGTCCCGTCATCCCCTGTGATCGTCTAATAGTTTCCACCTGTGTCCAATCACCTGCACCTCCCTTGTGTATTTAAGCCGTGTGTGTCTGTTGTCACTTGTCGCGTCATTGTCTTTCGCCACGCATGTTCTTGTCTCTTGTTGTGGATAGCCGTAGTTTCATGCCTGTGTGTTTTTGCCCCTTGGCCTTTTGGATTTTGGATCTTTGACTATTAAAGTCCTTTTGTTTCCTGCAAGTCTGCATTTGAGTCCTGCCTTCCACCCCCACCCCTGACAATTTCATTTAAGTTTTTCTTTTACAACCTGCTCAGTTTTGCACTTTTCCTCCTTACCTAATTCTTGCCTTATCCTTAACCCATTTTTATTTCATGTACATTTATGTAAATATTGTATTTTTTATTTTAACTTTAAAATTGGTCGGCTTTCCAGAAAAGGCAAGCACAAGAATTTATATACACAGGGCGTGTGTAACTGACAATAAAAATCTTTGAATCTTTGAATCTTGAATCGTGTGTGAATGTGAGTGTGAATGGTTGTTTGTCTCTGTGTAGCCCTGTGATTGGCTGGCGACCAGTCAGCCAATTGTCTCTCGCCCGAAGTTGGCTGGGATAGACTCCATCCCCCCCGTGACCCTTGTGCAGGATAAGTGGTTTGAAGATGGATGGATGTACATGAAAGTGAGTAATGTCCATGTGTCCGTGCTGCTCTAATCCCCTCCTTCTTTCAGGCTGGAACCTGCTGGAGTCCGATGGTTCAGACCAGGTCTGAGGAAGTGTAAGTGTGCTTTGAATTTGATTTGTTAAGATAAAGCTGCACACATTACACCATCTTCACACTGTGACATCACTCATTGAATATGAATTAATAACTGCAGGTGTCTTAATCTCTCATCAGATTCATGTCAACTCACACTCGACACAAACACAGTACACAGAGATCTCAAGCTGTCTGACAACAACAGGAAGGTGACATATGTGGGGGAGGATCGTCCTGATCGTCCAGACATATTTAACTGCTGGTCTCAGCTGCTGTGTAGAGCTGGTCTGACTGGTCGCTCTTACTGGGAGGTCGAGTGGAGAGGAGGAGTTACCATATCAGTGGGTTACAGAGGAACCAACGGTGAAGCCTCTTGGTTTAGATGGAATGATCAATCCTGGAGTCTGGGATGCTCTGATGAAGGTTACTATGTCCGTCACAATAAGAAAGTCACACCCATCACCACCTCCTGCTCCTCCTCCTCCTCTGGTAGAGTAGCAGTGTATGTGGACTGTTCTGCTGGCTCTCTGTCCTTCTACCAAGTCTCTTCTGACACCCTGATCCACCTCCACACCTTCAACACCACATTCACTGAACCTCTTTATCCTGGGTTTAAGTTCTCGTCCTGGTCCTGCTCTGGTTCCTCAGTGTCTTTGTGTTCTCTGTAGGAGGGAGAGTCTCCTCCTGGTAGAGAACCTTTCTCTCTACTCACCCATCTGTACAGGATGTTACAGAGCTGGTGTTGGCTCATGTTAATGTAGATGCAGGTGGAGTTGGGGAGGGATACTTGAGCTGGTCTGGACTCTGAGGGGTCCAGAGCTCTCTGGGACTTGTGATGTTGTAGATGTGTGTTTTAAGGTTGCTGTGCTCGTTGCCTGTGTGGATGAGATAAATAAATTATCATTTAGATATTGGGTCCTAATTAGGGTATGATTTTAATCTTTATATGTCCCAATGTTAATATATATATATAGTTAGTATAATTTTATAAAAAGGTCAGTTATCTCCCCCCACACTCCCCAACACCAATAAAAAAATATATGTATACATTAATTGTATCATAAATTTGTGTTTGTGCTTCATTAGCAATTTCTTTCAAGAATTGTTTGTATTGACGGAAATAAGGAAAATATGAGGAAAAATTCTTTTTGAGCCGATTGAAATTTCAAATGTTTTAATTGTATTGGTCTATGTTATGTATGTTAATACATTACTTTGATTGGAAACAACTGTGACAGACATGTCAAAATCCATGTTGTTTTTTTCCATATCAAATAAAATAGAATTAGCAACAATCATTGAGCTTGAAGCTACGATCCATCATGTCACGGTCAAAATGCTCCACGTGAACTTCAGATGGATGATGGACAGGTAGAGTTGCATTATAATATAATGGCATTAATTGTCCCCCTCTGTTGTCAAGAGAACACAAACCGCAAACCAAGATGCTACAGTAACAATTCTTTGCCTGAGCGAGGAGGAGGAGGAACTTACCCTTCTTCATCCCAACTGCAAAGCCTCTCTCTATCTGCAGCTCACATGCGGCAGCGTGACTCATTCACTCGATGCTCTACAGTTTCTACAGAAAGTGAGCGAAAAGCAAACAAGGACTCATCTCATATATTAGTAAAATAAAGAATAACAAACTGGAGCCTGGATGTTATTACCAGCCACAACAGCTGTATTCTGTCCGGTGAAACAATTATGGACCCAATCCACTTTAAATAGATGCATCCGTGCTTAATCGATCGAGTTTACTGCGAGCGGCTCTCAGAGACACCATTCTGTCCACCTGATAGCTGATTGAGCACCTCGTATGTAATTACCTGTGGAAGCATTCAGGGACGCTGGAATATCTGATGTGGCACAAATTCTTTCAAAGCAGTTTTTGCATGATGTGTAATATATAGTGTATGCTCCTCTAAACGCTTCATAGTGAGTCTGTGTTCTTCATTATTCAGTTTCCTGCTGTTTTAGTTTTACTAATGAAACTTGCACTGGCTCCGTTTCTGACCTTTGACCTTACCGTCGCTAAATGTAAATCTAATAATGACGCAGAAAGAGAAGATTCCCATCAGCTGTAAGTATTAACTTTCCTTTATTGTGTATTTTTCTGGCTGTGATTTGCTGTATAAACAAAAACTATTATTTTTCTCAGAACAGAATGAATCACATTCTGTTCTGAGAAAAAAGGACCTTTTGACCTCCGGTAATCAGGTGCGTCGAAGGTAAATGTTTGATGAATTATCACAGCAGTTAAAAGTTAATAATCAACAGTTCAGACACAGGAAACTCATCCACATTGTAATTTGAACATACATAATTCATACATTTAGATTCCTCCACAGACGTTCCTCTCATTTCTTTCCTTTGGATGTCCGGTTTTCATTTTGCCATCACGATGCTTTGGATGTTTCAAGTCTTTAAAAACAAAAAGCAGCAGCAAAGAAAATATTTTTATATGTCCGTCCATTTTGGATGAATAAAGGTTTTGAACATTCTCAGTGTAGCACCAGACAGAGTACAAAATAAGTTCAGTTGTGGATTAAATAAAAACACAGCATATGAAATATCCCACTCCCAAGGAGCAGAAGAAAAAAAGACAGATAGAAAGACCCGGAAAGGCACTTAAGTGTAACGACAGAAAAGCTCTTTGAAAGGAAAAATCAGTTTAAATCAAATATATTCAGTTGAAGACAGACAACCACGTTTCTATGAATATGAGTGAAATCTTTTCTCCCAGTTCAGAACGTCCGTAATGATCAGAATGATTTCTAACAGCAGTCTCCTCTCAGCGGCTTCATCGGACCAATAATAACACAGCGTGCCGCAGTTTGTCCTTTAAATGGGTTGAATAGTATTGTTTTTTTCCTCAAAAGTAACTTTAATCCTCAGCAGAGTTACTGAGGCATCAAACACTCAAATGCAAACCTGCCTTTTGTTGACGTCCCCACAGTGGCGCAAGACAGGGGACAATTCAGCTTGATCTTTGAGACTAAATGTGGATCATTATTTAACCACCGAGGTGCAAACGTGGATCGGGTCCTCTGCAGTCTACTTAGTGCTTAGATCGAGAGGGCAAACTGGTATTTGTGGGCCCGTCGTGTGTTCAGCTGATATCTCAGTAATTCCAGCAGGTTACAGGCTGCACTGACGCACTATTCTTACTGTCGCTCAGAGGGATCTTTGTTTATGCCCATTTGATGAACATGATTCTGTCTTTAGTGTACGCAGATTTATATGCATCCGCCCCCCCCGGAGGAATCGTTTCGTCTTTCTTTTAATCTGAAAAATCTGAGATGTTGTTGCGTTTAACCTTCTTGCTCTTTGGCACTCTCCTTGTGCACCTCGAGGCGCACGGACCACAGTGACGACGCCATGAGGAGGAAACGGACTGGGATTGAAAACGCTCAGAAAACACATCCGACGATTCTCCTGGTGTCTTCCTCCTTTTCTGGGTCACGTGATCCATCCACGCGGCGTCTCAGGCGTTGGGCTTCAGACCGACGTTTGTCCGCCCCGCCAACAGAGCAGAACAGAAAACTTCTTTATTCCTAAATTCTAAAAAGGAAAAGGTTGCAGGTCGCAGGTTCGACTCCCTCTGGATCCACTTGCGGTGCTGTTAAGGCGCTTTGAGTGAAAGCGTCACCCGGGGGGGGGGGGAGGAGGAGTCTCTGCGATTCACAGGCATTTCCACACAAACACACTGAAACACACAAACAAGACGTTTACCGCGTTACTTTTAGGAATATCGATCTAACTCAGACGACCCGGCCGACCGCGATCGATCAGTTTTACCTGCAGTCGTCTCCTCCTGTGCTGATCACGTATTTGTCCTCGTGGGAGAACCGGATATTGGTCACGTGAGCCGAGTGGCCGAGGTAGCGCTTGTGTTTGGCCTGCAGAGAAAGTACAGAATTAGCAGCGTGGGACCAGAGCAATGTGCACAGTTTAGCCCCCTAAAATATCCTAAACCACCTTCAGTGTAGCTAAAGTTAAAATATTCACTTTACTATCTAAAAAAAGGATTTGAAACCTTGTTGCATTGACAGTAATTCTGTATTTTCAAAGCAGTGCTAAAACACACAACTATTTGGTATGAAATTCTCGTGGAACCATCGAGCGTATCTTTGACACCTGACGTGTGAACGTTTGCGACTCACAAACTTGTCTGTGCAGGGAAAGTCGAACAGTTTGACCAATCCGAAGTCGTCCCCGGTGACCACGTTCACGCCGGCGTGGGACACGCACGCACAGTTGACTTCAGCTTTGTCGGCATTCCGCGGCCAAATCCCCAAAACCTCATCTCCCAGAATGCTGTGGGAGAAACAACACAGTCCTGTCAGGGTTTTTGGACTGCATTACCCCGAAGGACCATGTGGGGTCCTCAGTGATCCTGTTTATGTCTGTCACCTGTCACGCGTGTTTGTGGGTTTGATTGTTTTCATTGCGTTCACCTGTGCCTTGTTTTCTAGCCTTTGAAAGGCCACCTGTGCCTTGGAACCACCTGGAGCCGCGCCGCGTGAGATTCTTGATGCCTTTCCTCTGTTAATACCTTTTGGTTTTTAAGATCTTCTGTTGCCTCTTTTTTGGGACACCCTTAGTTTCCTAGTTTAATGCCCAGATCTTGTTTTTAGTTGCCTAGGAATATTTTTGAGTTTTTTTGTCAAGCATATCCTCTGCTCTTGCAAGTAAAGAAACCTTTTTTGACTCTACAAACGACTTGTCTGTCTCTGCACCTCAGTCACCACCACTCGCAGCACAGCGGTAGGCAATCTGCCTGCTACACCGAGACCCAGGTTTGGATCCCGACGATCCTGATACAGTACTATCAGATGAGTTTCTCATGACATTTCAATGGCATAAAGTGGGTTTGTATGTGATTGTGTGTGTGTGTGTGTGTGTGTGTGTGTGTGTGTGTGTGTAACCTGGTCCAGGTTGCCCAGGTGATTCTGTCGATGACGGTCTGATCAACCACCAACTTCCCAGATGGAACCTCAAAAACCTGCCGCTTGTATTCTCCCGTAGACACCTGCACGCGCGCACACACACACACACACACACACACACACACACACACACACACACACACACACAATATCAGGTTTATAGCTCGCAGATGGACAGATTAATTACATACGTGCAGGGTATATGTTTACATACGTGTGTACCTGTATGTAACAGCTGTCGGCAGAGAAGTCGAGCTGCAGGATGAAAGCGGCGATGTCGCTGCAGTAAACCAGCCGGGTCAGAGTCGGTCCTCCGCTCACATCGTAGATATCCACCGTGTTCTCCACCGACCCGACCGCCAACAGCCGCCGGTCCGGACTGAACCTGCACACACACACACACACACACACACACAAAGAACACAATGATTTAATCATGTAAATCCTTCATCCACATTTGGTCTATGTTTTATATTTGTAACAAACATAAACCACACGCTGTCCCACCGGATGTCCTGGATGGCGACGCTGCGGTCCCGTTTCTTCGCCCACATCTTCAGCGAGTTGGCGAGGAGGAGGAGGATTTCTCCGTTCTTCATCCCCACCGCCAGCATCTCCCCGTCCGCGCTGTAGCTCACACAGCGAGCCGCGTGGCCGACGCACACCTTGTTCAGCAATTTCTACGAAGAGGGAGAGTGAAAAAAACAGAAATCGGGAGGTGCAACGACCGGGACACGAGACGCGTGTGCGTGCGTGTGTGCGTGTGTGTTTGTGTGTGTGTGTGTGTGTGTGCGTGTGTGTACCTTGTCGGTGAGGTCCCACAGGCGGATGGTGGCGTCGTCGCTGGCGGTGATGCAGAGCTCTTTGGCGGGATGAGCCGTCAGACCCCAGACTCCTCCCCGAGCGTGGCTGTCCAGCAGCAGGTTGGACGCCGCGTTCTTCTCCCCAACCTCAATGATCTCGCCGTCCTTCGTCCCCACCAGGATCTTACCCTGAGGGATGAGGGGGGGGGGGACGCGTGGCGGATGAGGAACGTCTGTCTCCAGGGAGGGACGGCGTAGGTTTAAAATCTAAACTTCTTACTTTGCCTCTGCAAACGGATCGGACGCACTCCACCTGCTGGCCCGTCTCCAGCTGGAAGGCTCGACAACGTTTCATCTCCTGATCCCAGAGCTTCACCGCGCCACCCTCCTTGGTCCTGAGACGCACACACAGCAAATTAGGTCATTTGTTTCTGAAAAGAAAAACATCTTATATTTCAGAGACCAATCTGCGTCTGCCACTGAAATTCTCTTTTTCTTCTTTTTCCTTTGCTGCTCATTTATCTTCTGCATCTGTTTGCCAGATGTTCCACGAGGTGACAGGAGGTCTTCGCTCCATCGGTGATCTTCTGGAGTTACTCACGGCCTCTCCTTGCCGCCGGTGACGATGAGTCCGTCCCTCAGGGTGGTGTACATGGTGAAGACCGGCCCGGTGTGGGCCTTCGCCACCACCCTCAGCAGGTGGTGCTCCCGCCACACGTACACGTCCCCGTTAATGGCGCCGGTGAAGGTCAAGTTGTTCTGCAAACAAACCTTCACTTTATCAATATTGATATTGCGTGAATAGTTATATATTAATGTACTTTTGGACTGAGAAGAGAAACCAGTACAAAGAAAAGGGGAAGAAACGGCTGCAACAAAATGTTTCTGTAAGTTTGACGATATCACGAAGCTTCAAACTAATCAGACCAGCGCTCCAGACTTTCTCTCATCATTGTCTCGTTGTTCTTTTGATTAAGTTTCCATTCTGTGGACCCGTGTGAATGGACACCGTCTTGTAGTCGTGGAACAGAAGGTTCCTCGGCGACCGTTGATCACCATGGCAACAGTCCGAGCTGCAGCGATGGATGTTTTCGGGTGAAAGCGAGCAAGAGATTTTACAACCACAAGTCAGCAGGTGACTCACAGCGCCGAAGGCGACGGAGAGCATCGTCTGCATCCTGCTGTCCTCCACCGTCCCCACCACGCCCTTCTTGTACATCAGGGCGCCGCCGGCCAGCGTCCAGAACCTCACGTGTTTGATTCCCACCGACACAAACTGGGAGTCCGAGTCCGGCCGAAACTCCACCACAAAGATCCGGTCCAGGTGTCCGGCTTTACTGCACACTTTGGATCCTGCAGTGGAGTCATTTTAAACTCATTTAAATGTACATCCTGTTTTCTTTTGGGAGTTTGGCTCAGACAAACCCGTTCATTGGAGATATTAATAAAAACTGAAACCGAATATTTCCCTTTCATGCTACTTTGTTTATGTTTTAAACAAAAAGAGCTATGACTATTAGTCTATGCCCACTGACAGCGGCCGGTCTGACCTTCCTGCCAGCGCCACACGGTGATGGTGTGTTCAGGGTCCACTCCCACGGACAGCAGCAGCTTCCCTGTGGCGCTGAAGTTGACGTAGCCGACGCCTTTAGCGTGAGGACAGCGCAGGATGGACAGAGTCTGCTTGCTCATCGCGTCCCACACGTGGATGGTGGGGGTGGTGCCTACGTGCAGAGCGAGAGAGAGGAGACGGAGTGAGGTTCGATCGGGACATGAAGGCGACGCAGAAGGAACCGAGCAGCAGAAACGGATCAATCAATGCGGCCTGCAAACACCCGGAGAACCAGAACAGCGGCAGAGACTAAAGAGGTTTTCAGATGGATTCACAGTTTTCTCGCTGGCATCGGTTGATGTCGTTGCAGAGAGATCTCCTTCCCCTTACAATCGATTTGGTCCCGTCTCATGGCTGACATCACTACTCTTTGTTTGGTAAAGGCCTCTCCAAAGGGTCAACCGCAGTAGAAAATGTCCCTACTGAGCAGAGAATCATCCAAATGCAAAAGAAGCTGAAAGTTTAGCATCGAAATGGGTGCAGATTTAAATAGTAAGAGGTTACAGTTTCAGTGGCAGGCGCACAACGATGCAGACTATTATGAGCTGTAATTAACAGGCAACGCGTTTGAACTCGAGAGAAAAGAGTGTTTACACGGTTGGAATTGGATCAGGGAATATCCGCTGAATGTAAAGCACTTCTCTAGTCTTCTGCCAACTCGCAGCCTAAATAACCACAATGCTAAATGTGGTTCAATTATGAGTCACTTCTGCTTTAAAAGAACGTTCAAAATTCAACACTGCGGGGACATATTTTGAAGGGGGAAAAAGTCAACGTGACATCTGATTTTAAACTGTAGTAAAGTAAATCCTGAGTTACGCCTAAAACTCTGCGGCTGGTCTCTGGGTGTCAGGGTGTCACAGGGAGGCGGCGCGGGTTTTTACCTGGCGGTTCACCGACGTCACCTGAGGTGTTGTGAGAGAGATGGCGAAAAAATGAGGCCAGCCAAAACACAAACGTACGAAAACAGAATAAAAAAAACAGATAAAAACGTGAAGTGAGTTGTTTTAAAGCGGCTCAGCCGTGACAGTAGAGAGATATTCATGGGTGATTATTGCTGCTGGAATCCATCTCAAAATAATCATCTCATTAAGAAATGAGCTCCACCTCAACCATCTACAACAGATGCACATCTCCATCTACATTAATCAACGAGAAATAATCATTTAATATCACAGGACATTTTCTTACTTTTACACAAAGTATATTTTTCCTAATTACACCAACAATTAAATGCAAAGTATTTTCTCACTGTGGTATTAGCTGACTTCTTTCAATCAATAAAGCTAAACTTAGATAAAGCCCCTCTTCGGCTCTCTCCATCCAGCAAAGAGACAATAAACTATTAAACAATTTCCATTCTGGCCATTTTGTATCTGCTAATTTTCGTTTTTAAGACAATCCTCCTCTGTGTGAAGCGTTACTGGATCTAATGACTCTCAGCGGGAAACACGTAAAGCAAGCAGGTTGAACACAAAGCAGAGGAGAGAAAGCAGAACCTATTGAGCCTTGACGAGCTAGTAGAAACACACACATGCAGAAACACACACACACACACACACACACACACGCTCAGTGTACCGATCTGCCCGGTGGCGATGACATTTTTGTATTTCGGGTGTTGATTGGCGGTCAGAGAGAGGATGTCATCTGTGTGTTCCAGGTAGAAGCTCTGAGTTCCTGCAGCACAAGAAGTCACGTGAACACATCAATTTGCATCAATTTGCTTAAATGTAGTTTAATATCAACGTGGGTTCATTTGATCAGCACCTTAATGTAAAACATATAGCTCTTTCCCAGCAACATATATTATTTATAATATGTTTGACGTAACAAAAATTCAGATGCGTTTCTGTGGCTGTGTTGCCGCGGTTACCAGTGGAGAGACTGTGGACGATGGCGGTGGCGGCGGTGTGGTAGACGATGTCGGTGCCGTCGTTGAGATAGTGCAGATTGTTGCGACAGTCGAAGCCCCGAAACCCGAACACGTGATCCAAGACCATGTCCTACACGAGAGGGGGAGGGAGACAGGTTAACGGGAGGACGGACGGACGGACGGACGGGTGGACGGAGACAGCTAGAGGGACGGACGAACCTCCACCAGCCTCCTCTTCTTGGAGACGTTGTTCTTCTGGAGCTTCTCGGGCCGCGGCGCCGCTCGACTCACCGGAGGCCTGGAGGACCGATCAGAGCGTTAATCAAGTAATCAAAGATCAACGTGGTCAGTCTGAAGACAGACAGGACGGACGGGAGACAGGACAGACAGGACAGACAGACGGGTTGTTCTGGTGTGTGAAGAATACGGAGCACCTGACAACTGACAGTAGAAGTACAACATAGAGATACTCATGCTAGAATGTAGATTAATTCCCCTAAATCTGAGATTATGAGATTATGAATCCAGACAGTTTGCGGTGCTGCCAAAACGCACACACACACACACACACACACACACACGAAGAGGCATTACAAAAGTAAGAGGAGGACCGACAGGTGTTACCTGGATCCCCTGGACAGCAGAGGGATAGAACCAAGGTATAGAACTATAAGGTATAGAGAACACAGACACACACACACACACACACCTCTTCACATACAAACACAACGACACACTCACTCAGACACACTCACCAAGGCCTTGGCTAAAACTGTGACTAGCTGTGTGCTATGGCTGCATGCTAACAAAATGCTACCATGCTACTCATGCTTGCTTTTGTTTTCAGGCTAACATGCTAATGTTGCTACTTCTGCGTTATATTTACCTTCAACGTAAAGTGCTTTGTTTTATCAGTGTCTATTTATTTAAAGTGAACGGACGGCAGCAGATTTAGGCGCGGCTCATAAACCAAACCTTCATTTATTGTATATTCAACTATAAATACGCAGTAATGCTGTAAGACAGAACACATCATCTGATTAGAAGTATTTTATTGACATACAGCCCATCTACAAATAATCTAAAGAGTCATTTTTATACTTACTTCACAATGCCCTGCCTCCAGGGGAATGCAAGTCAAAACACAATAGAAATATTAAAGGCTTTCCCACTATAGGAACTACAAATAGCAGTAATAACAGAGAAAACACTTAACTTAAAAACGCTGAAATCATGAGCTGTTAGAGTGTAGAATGTGGGACTGAGCCAAAAAGATTGTTTCATACAGGAACAAAGAATCCATCAGGCAGAAAACCCACAGGTACGAACACAAACCAAAAGAACTGCTCAATTACACACACACACACACACACACACACACACACACTGTCACACATCGCACACCAAGGACAACATGAATGGATGAATAGTTCATAAAGAGCTCGGACGCACAACCTCAGTGTTGTGAAGTCAAACGTCGCACTAAATTTCCACTGAATACAAACTTTTTAAATTTTTCAACTGTAAGTGAAACATTTATAAGCTTATCTGCACTAGGAAAGAACGTACAGCTGACAACTGAAACAGACGAGTCTGACAGACAGAAGAGTGTTTATATTACGTGTATTTGTTATTTTCCGCGACGTACTTCTTCTACCTCTTCTTCTCAAATAGAAATGTAGTTCATTTATTCTACTCAGCTTTTCATCTTAGTCCTTTCCCGTTTAGGTTCTTTTTCAAAAGGCAGTAAAGTCATCGTGTAACCCTTTGTCTGAGTGTGTGTGTGTGCGTGTGTGTCTGTGTGTGTCTGTGTGTGTGTGTGTGTGTGTGTACCTCTCCTCTGGAGAAACCTCCTTCAGCTGGTGCTGAGGTTTGGTTCCTCTCATCTGTCTCATGCTGACGGCGTACATCTTGGAGGTGTAATCCACCGTCTTCTCCCGGGCGACGTCACTGTCGTACCCTTCACACACACACACATACACACAGACACACACACACACACGCACACAAAACTTTGTTTTTTGTATTCTTCTTCTGTATGATTGCCTTTAAGTCAATAAAGTGAGTTTTCACGAGGCCTGAGGCGGGTTTGAGAACCAAAATGCGGACGCGCCCACCTCCGTCCTCTTCGATGTCGTCATCCGACTCCTCGCTGTCCACGGTGGGCCGGCCGTCGCAGCACAAAGGCCCCTCCCCCTCCACGCCGGCCCCGCCTCCTCGCTCCCTCGCCCAGATCATCAGGGCGGTGTCGGCCCCGCCGGCCGTCAGCAGCGAGCAGTCGTCCTGAGCCCAGCGCACGTTGGTCACCTGGGCGCTGTGGCCCACGTAGCGCTTGAAACGGGCGTACTGACCCTGAGGGGGGAGCACAGAGGAGAGCGAGATGATCTGACGTTCATCTCTCTCTCTCCCTCTGAGGTAGGCGGTGACAGGTGAAGGGCAACCAGCGGCTCCGTGCTTCGTACCCGAGCCGGGTAGCCGAACAGTTTCAGGAAGCCGAAGTCGTCCCCGGTGGCGAGCAGCCTTCTGTCTCTGGTGAGCGACGCGGCGTTGACGTCGGTGATGTCGCTGTGCGTCGGCCAGATCCCATCGCAGCTCGAGCCGAGAACGCACGTCCAGCTGGACCACTCGACCCGCTCCCAGCTTACGCACGACAGCAACGTAACACACACACAATTATGCAACAGTAACATTGGAAATAGGGTGATCAATCCAGCTGGGACGTCCTGCACACGCACTCAGGAAAAGCTTGAAGTCACACACACACACACACACACACACACACACACACCTCGGAGTTTCTGATGGTTTGTCTTCTTCCTCTCGGGGCTTCGAAGAAAAGCTGCTCTTTTGCTCCCGTGTTCACCTGCAGCAGTTTACCTGAAGAACACGCACACACATAAATAAGTAAGTAAATACATCATATTTTGTTATAATTCATTATTTAATTAACCAGGCTGCAGCCTCTGGGCCTGAAAAGTGAGGCGCCTTAAAGGTGCATTCCCTCTAACGGCCACCAGAGGTCGGATGAGAAGAGAACCCCGATTCTCATCCGATCATGATCGCGATGAGCCGCAGGTGAAGACGCAGGGCAGCGTTACCTCGAGCGTCCCAGTCGATGTGCGTGATGTAACTGGACGCCCCTTTGCAGATCCCCACTCGCTTGCTGCTCTGCACGTTGTAGATGTCCACAAAGCTGTCATGTGACGCCACCGCCAGGAATTTACCTGAGTCTGAGAACATGCGTGGATGACGCAGGATGAGTGGACATACCGCTGATCCCCCAAAACTGCCACAGGTTGAAAAATGACAGAAATCAACTACTATCAACCAACAAGATATTCTTCTTGTGGCACTTTGAGTTCTCTCTGCTTGACTCGGCTGTTTCCATAGAGATGCAGGATTTATATGCCGCACTGAAAAACAAGGCCACGGCGGTTGAGGTACTAATGTGTGTGTGTGTGTGTGTGTGTGTGTGTGTGTGTGTGTGCGTGCGTGCCTGGGGAAAAGCGGACGTCAGAGATGGCGTCGCGGCGATGGTGGAAGCTCAGGAGATCCTCCAGCGTGTCGGCGTTCACCACCAGCACGCCGCCATCGCTCAGGCCGACGGCCAGGGCCTTCCCGTCGGGGGAGAAGGCGCAGCAGCGACCGCCTGGAAGTCAAGTGATTACATCAGTCAAAAAATCAGCGTGTTCTTGGGAGCCTCTGAGAACACACCCTTTATTTAGGGCCTTGGCATGTGGTCTCATCTGAGGTGCCACACGGGGATGTTCAGGCGTCTCAGTCAAGTCAAGTTCCTTTTCACAGAAAAGAACCAAAACCAGCGGACGTCCAGAAGGAAACTAATCTGAGAAGTGATGTGTGACCTTTTGTCCCCCGTTTGCCTCTTTACCTCTCTTCAGCTTGCGGACGGCCACCATGCGGTGATTGGCCGACGTCTCCCACAGTCGCAGCGTCTTATCGTCGCTGACGGTGGCGCAGACGGGGAGGAGGGGGTGAGGGGCCAGACCCCAGACCTCTCCCTCCATGTGACCCTGCACACACACACACACACACACACACACACACACACACACACACACACACACACACACACACACACAATGCACTACCTGCAGACACTGCTCGGCTCCATCAACACCCTGAACCTTGTCTGGGGGTATTTACTTTGTGATTGATGATTAACATTCTTCTAGGAAGATGAAAGCACCGAGAAGTAGTGAAAAGTGCACAATGTTGTGGTACATACGGCATTATATAGTTCATCGTGTTTACGTCTCTCTCTCTCTTGTCTCAGTCCACTCCCTTTGTTTACGCTGGCATCGCCATTACAGCGCAATACATTTCATTCTGCAAATGCTGATCGATCTGCAGCGGACGTTCTCCTCACCATGGCAACAGGTGCCGTGCCAGACTGCCAGACTTTTAAAAATACCTGAGGTGCTCTCTGCCTTCTCACACACAAGCGCCCAATGGAATCGTATTCATTCGAATGCACTTATTCAAATGGAAGCACGTGTTTAGCTTTTTTGCTCCCGTGGATCTTTCAGTCTTCGTGGATCGTGAGCATCATCAGCAGATGCTGTTTGCCCTGTTGTCATGGGAATGTGTGTAAATTAGATCCCAAAACTGCGAGCTTGTTGTTTCTCCCGAGGATGGCGGTAAGATGAAAAGATCCAGAACTACGGGACCTAACGTCTCTCCGTTACCAATCAAATATCGAACCTCTGTCAACTCGTCACCTTTTTTACATCCACTGTGTAAACTTATTATCCTGCTGCATTCTGGGAAATATTATTAGCTGTTCATGTATAGAGCCAAACGTTCAGATTTAAGGGTGTGGTTTAGATTTTTTAAAGCCAGGTCGTCTCATACAGTCCCAATTCAAAAGACCCCAAATGTCCCTTTAAGGAGACAGTGGAGAATCAGTGCTGTTGCCACGGCGACCCGCTGTTTAATATGTCTCAATAACCGAGGGTGAGCTCGACTGCACCTGCACCAGCAGGGTCATGGGTCCGGTCTTGTCGATCTCCAGAACTTCTCCGTTTTTTGTTCCCACCAGGATGTGACCGTGTCCCAGAGTGATGGCCCTGATGGACGGGTTGTCCTCCAGCAGCAGCCCTGCACACACACACACACACACACACACACACACACACACACACACATAACCCGGTGATTAATCGTTCAGCGCCATGTTAACCGCGTGTCCACCGGGGGGCAGTGGTGGGATAGAGGTTATTATAGCGTTTTCTACGGCTTCATCCCAAACCCCCAACGGGAGAAGTTCACGAGTGAGGATGGCGTGTCTTCACGTGGTCACCGGGTGGGCGCGTGCACCTTTAGAGCCCGGGGACAACGCCGCTCTCTTGATGGCGTACGTCTTCAGGCAGCGGTCGAACATGTCGTCCCACAGCTCCACCACACCGTCCTTCCCTCCGGTCACAAAGCCCTGAAAACAAATCATTATAATGATTGATTTTGCAGGTTGATTAAAGTTTTAGGACCAGGTCACTGTGATGGTAACCTGTTGTTAAACCTCCTTATAGCGGATCTACACATCCTGTCCTGCTTGTCTCCTTTCCGATCGTCCTTCCATCCTCGCACTCATTTCGTTAAACCGTTGAAATCACATCATGGTCCTTGTTGGTATAGAAGGTAAATCAATAAGTGGAGAATACAGATCTGTACTCTGCTGAGTCAAAGCAGAAATATCTTGACTCTGTCGCATCACGTAATTCACTCAGGGACGTCACATCCTTCCCTCCCTCGCTCCCTTCCTCCCTTCCTCCCTCCTCAGTCAGATCTACCATCCTTCAGTCTTATCTTCCTCCTGACAGGTTTATTTCTCAGCATGAGATCTTCACATCTGTTTGATGTTCTCTCTGAGGAATCTCACAAAGTCCACGTTATACCGGATACAGTCTATTTTTAGTAGTTTGTTTTTACTTTAGTCATAAAACATTTATTGATATCCTGTTCTGTGATGTTGATGTTTCAAAAAAGATCTTCCAGTCTAGATCACTTTTCCTCCTTTCTAGATTTCAGAGTCATAAATTCTTGCATCACTTTTAAATGTTTATTTAGCAAAGTGTGAGTGAGCAGCGAACAGTTGTAAGAAGACGGATGTGTGAACAGCAGATGACATTTGGTTCGTGTCATGGTTTCATTGGTTAAAAAGCCCACATTTCAACCTGAGTTTTCTCCACTTAACTTCAATTTCAATTTTCAATTTGTGACCCGATCTGAACGTTATGATAGAATTTATATATTAGGTATATATACATATTCATAGCTATATAATATAGCTTGCAATGCAAATGACGACATGCAGTGGAAATAAAGCTGAAATTCCTAATCAGGTCACAGAATCCACCGCACACCTGTTATCGTGTCATTATTATTCTATTTCTTGTAATTATGAGATGGTTAATTCTAATTAATCATAAGTACGTCATAATCATGGGATAAAGAAATCACAATTAGTGCTCGGAGGAGAAGTGCTGCTTCTTCACAACAAAAGTAGGAGGTGTGTTGTTTTCTTTCTTTCTTCATTCTTGGCGATTTAATACCAAATATAACATTTAGAACATTTTCCCTTTTGGAGCTTTTGATTTTTATAACGAGCTCTTTCCAAAAAGAACAGCAGCTATTATGCTTTTATTTATTGGTATGGAGGTTTATTTAAGACGTATGTAGAAGCGCCTCTCTAGTAGTAGACACACACACGCTTGTCTCCTCACCTTGTCGAGGGAGAACATGGCGAACACGGGTCCGTCGTGCGCTTTGACGGTTTTCAGCAGCAGCGCCTCCTTCCAGATGTAAACGTCTCCGGTGGCGCCGCCGGAGAACACCAGCGCATCGCTGCGGCCGTAACACACGGACATCATGGTCTCCGGCCGGCCGACGCCCCTGAACGCACCGCGCCGGAAGGTCAGACCGCCGCCTGGGAGACAGAGAGAGAAGAAGGTCCATCAGACGCGATGTGGTGCAACAACAACACAATAAGAAACAACACAAAAGAACAGTGGAGTCCAGATTCTCCAAAAGCAAAACATGCAATTAATAAAATGACTTTGTGCGAAAACAAGAACGAGTGTCATTAGTAGAAGTTTCAGTGTGCGAGTCTCATTATTGAAGTTTTACCTGCTTGTTGCCAGAACTGGATGTGTTTGATACCCACAGTGACCAGCTTGTCCATGAGCATGGGGTTACACTTCACCACAAATATCTTCTCCTTGTGACCCCTGCAGAAAAGTATATGAGTTAATGACCCGACATGCACATTTTTCTGAGTTAATTCATTTACTTTTTAAATAGTTGTATTAATTTATAGACTAAACGTCATTCTATACAACCAATTCAGCTTCAGTACATTTTGAGTATATTCAAATACAATATTTTCATTTATGTTCTGACGCCACAAGCCCTGGAAATGTTTTCGGCACACCATAAAAGGGTTTAAAAATGAGATTTTGGAGGGCTTTAATTTTCAAACCTTAAATGAGCGGTAGTCTGCAACTATTTATTTTTAAATCCAGTTCAAAAATACATAAATTGCCTTAGAAATGTGATCTGAAGATCACAAAAGGACATTTTCTCTGTTGAAAAGTATTAGATATTGGAAGCCAAAGATGAAAAATGTAAGAATATATATTTTGTTAAATGTTAACCTGATATTCAAGTGGCATATGGCTTAAAAATGACAAACAGACTTTTTTTTTTACCTGGCAGTAGCAAGCTTCTCTCCTCTCTTCCAGTCCCACACAACAATTGAATGTCCATCGTCGACTCCCACTGACACCAGACTCTTCCCATCAGCTGCATCACACAAAGGAAATACATGATAAAAAACTGTGATTACCACCATCTTCTTTTAATGTAACGTGGTGCTCTTTTTTCGCCACGTCGTTGTCCCTGTTGGACTCTTAGTCACATCCCAACATTGCCTGGTGCATAATAGTTAACACAACGCAGCACACGTCAGCTGGTGTGCGCCGTGCATCAAAACAAGCACACCCATTGATTTCTGCACGCGGATGGCATCTTGATCGCAGCCACTGCTCGTGGCCATTACGTCCATTAAACCACAGCAACGGGCTGTGCAAAGACTTCAGCCGGGACCCAAAATGGTGGGAAATGATGTGGAATTGATGCGGAGGCTGAAAAGTGAGGATTGGAGGCTCGTAAGTGTCCTCACGCACACGGATGGAGACACGCGCGTTACCTGAGAAGTCCAGAGCGCACACTCCTCTCTGGTGGAAACCTCTCAGCAAGGAGAGGCACTTCAGAGTCTGGATGTCCCACACATGGACGGCCGGGTCCCTCCCCACCTGCGCACACACCTCACAGGCTCAAGGATACGCAAGCGTTTCCAAATCCTCCATACGGATCGCGTGTGTGTGTGTGTGTGTGTGTGCATGTGTGTGTGTGCGCACCTGTCCAGTAGCAGCGTAGTCCTTCAGCGGGTGGATGCTGAGGCTCAGGATGTCGTCGTCGTGGCCGAGGTAGAAGCGCTGGCTGTGCAGCTGCCGGTTGTAGACCACGCCGACCGCCGCCACGTGGTACAACACCTCCCCCCCCTGAGTGTAGAACAGGTTGTTCCTGCAGTCGTAACCACGGTACCTGCACAGACACACACACACACACACACAGCATTGACGTTTCCGACCAACCAGACAACTATCTCTGTGATCAGTAATTAATGGAACAAAAGTCAGACTGACATCTTGGGCATTTAATGCATCGATCTTCAGAGGTCATCAGGGTCATCGGTGATTGATCGCTGTGTGAAGCTCTTGCTTTTACAACTTAAGAGCACATTATTTCTATAATTATTAGATTATTTCATCTTCAATAAAACCTGAGCATGATGCAAAGGGGAAAGTCTTCTTACTCTGTCACCTACATTGAGATGGTAAAGAAAAAAGACTTCCTCCTCCTTTTAATTTATTTGTACGATTAAAGAGAATCTGTGTCTAATTTCTAATATGTGTTTAGAAAGTTAATTAAGTATTGGACTTGATATATTTGTTGTGCACATGAAGCAAACACTATCCTTAAACACACCAAAGGTTTATAATTAAGAACTAGATCGCATGGAGGGTCTTTCATCCGGATCGTGAGACCAACACGTGAAAGTCTTTTGTTCAAATACCCGTGAACAAACTGCAGCCGCAGTCCTTGGTCCGGCCCTCTCTGCCTCTTCAGAGATCCAACCTGCTGCTTCTTCTCTCTGCTCTGCTGCTGCAACTGAGGCAGGTCCTCCTTATACACCTGCAAACACACACACACACACACGCACACGCAGTCATTTCTCATATGTGCCGAGCTGTGTCATCGTCACTGGAAGTCAACATGAAAACGTTGGTGTTTGCGCCCTCAGCAGAGAACACGCCGGCTCATTTTTCATGCAGATTATTCCGTTGAGGTTTCAGCCGTCTGAGAGTTTCACAGCGAGAGACTTTGCTCCCAGGAGGTTTGGGACTGGCAGCTCGCCACTTCCATGCTGCTTTCCATTTACACAAACTGCATATTTCAGGAGCTCCGTGGATGATGAGCGCGGTGACAATTTTACTGTGTCTGGACTCTATGAACTCCTTCCTGTTTTCCCCTCTTTAAAAGGAAAATCGTGAGCCAAACGACTAGATGTTTATCTTTTTAGTTTTATAATAACCTAAAAGGTTATTTTGAATTGCAACAAAGTGGATGTGATTACATTTGGAAAAACCTCGCGGCTGAGGGAATGTCACCACTTTTCAACAGGACTCAAAAGTATTTCCCTCCGGACCAGAAAAAAAAGGACAGGAGGAAACTAGAGGGATGGAGGGAGGGAGGAAGGGAAAAAGGAGGTAAAAGAAAATACGTTGGCTGGCCTGGGATAAGTGATTCCGATGAAAAAATAATAATAACCCGTTTTCCTGCTCGTTCCAACTTAACTTAGGAGCTACACACACACACACACACACACACACACACACACACACACACACACACACACACACACACACACACACACACACACTTTGAGCTCTATCTCCAAACAGCACATTGTTGCGCCCGGGAATCGGTAGCTATGGTGACTCGTGCCAGGCAGCCGCCGGCTCTGGAGATAAGGCGTGTTTCGTCGGGGGTCGCCATGGCAACAGAGCCCCCGCCGCACTGCGCCTGAACGAGCCGCTGACACGGCGCAGCTCTCCAGCGATGAAACATTCCCGCACGTGCAAAAAAAGCTGGAAACAACGCGAGGTTTTTTTTTTAGTGCTTGCTAGAGGGTGAGGGGTTGGGGAAGGCGCACCTGTCTGTCGTAGTTGATCTGCGTTTCCTGCTCAATGTCGGAGTCGAGCTCCGGGACGTCCGACACGTCGCTGTCCGACTCCTCGCTGTTGGAGTCCCCGTGTCCGTCTGCGGAGGGGACGGACAGACGGACAAAGGTTCAAACTAAGACCCATCTGTCTACAGCAGAGATGAACCTACATCTAGAACCTTCTTTAGAAAACCTGGGACTACTTATTGACTGTGGTAGGCAAGGCGGGGCAATTTTATTTGTACACAAGGCAGACTCAAAGTGCTTCATCATAACATTTCATACAATAAAGGGAGATAAAATGCAGGAATTAAAAGACAATTAAAAACAGCAAATACAATTATAAATTAAAATGTTATTTAAATTGTTTAATTAAAGGCAGAGGTTAAAAGTGCAATGTAGGTAAAAATTTAGCAGAAGGCACAGCTGAACATAAAAGTTTTCAGTCTTGTTTTAAACGTGTCAGAGTTGGGGCAAGTCTTACATCCTCAGGAAGTTTATTCCAGCTGTTTGTTGCGTAGTAACTGAATTATGCTTTCCCATGATTTGTATTTACTCTGGGAATCACTAACAGATTTGTGTCAGAAGATCTTAGTGGTCTTGAAGGCTTATGTAGTGGAAGCATATCAGTGATACACTTTGGCCCTAAACCATGTAGTGATTTATATGTGAGCAGTGGGATTTTGAAATGAATTCTCTGACATACTGGGAGCCAATGTAAGGATTTAAGAATTGGTGTAATGTGCTCACATTTTTTGGTCTTTGTCTAGCCTACTAGTTATAAAGGCATGTACAAGTGTTTCTAAGTCTTGAGCTGACATGAGCCCTCTAAGTCGTGCTACATTTTTGAGGTGGTAGTAGGCCGATTTTGTTACTGATTTGATGTGACTCTCCAAGTGTAAATCTGAATCCATAATAACCCCCAGATTTCTGGCTTTATTTCATGTTTTCAGGGACAGAGAGTGAAGGGGTTGGTTTTCTTTAAACCTTTTTTTTTTTAGCACCAAATACAATGATCTCAGTTCTGATAGTCATCTTCTTCTCACAAGAACTACGCATATACTTAAAAACACAAAACACAGGAAACCATTAGAAATTGAAAGTATCTTAAAGGACCAAACCTGGAACGACGTCAAAGGGGGATAGATTAAAAAAAAGACCTTGAAAGGTCACAGATTCGCTCCTCGACTCTTCCCCACCTTGTACGTTGGTGTCCAGTCCTCCGTTCATGACCGACTCGGGCAGAAACCTCCACTGGAAGAGGGCGTGGTCGGCCCCACCCGTGGTCAGCGCCCACTGCAGGTCATGTGACCAGCGGACGTTGGTCACGTGGGCAGAGTGGCCGACGTACTTCTTGAATTTGGCCCCTTGGGGAGCAGAGACGGACCCGCGTTTAACGCCAAAAGCGGAGGGGAAGAAAAGCGCGAAGGTACACAAAGCGTAAAAAAGGGGGACGGGCGGAGACCTTTTCTCGGACAGGGGAAGCGGAAGAGCTTGACGAGGCCGAGGTCGTCGCCGGTGACGAGCACGGCGGCGGCGTGATTGGCGTCCACCGCGTTGATCGCGGTCAGGCCGGAGTATTTGGGCCACACGCCGCTGACCTCGGAGCCCAGGACGCAGCTCCAGGACGCCCAGCGCTGACCCTTCACCTCCTCCCTGCAGACGATCGGCTTCCCCACTGCGGGAGGCAGAGAAAGCAGCGCGCGTTTCAGCCGTCAGGAATCAGGAAACTTTTATTTACCAAAATGTGCCAAACATACAAGGGATTTGTCTTGGCGGTTAGTGCGCGACAGTAGACAGACAAGACAGCAGTGCACAAGTAATGAAATAAAGTGGGATGAAATGCTAATGCAGTGGGTTAGTAGAATAAGGCTATGGGTTAGTATGAAACAAGGGAATAAAGTTAAAAATTTTAAATATTAAAAAAGTTAAAAAGAAAAATATTAAGCGCACTAACGAACAAGTAACAAAGTGACAAAGTGATGAATTGCAGTTAAAGTGGCATGTGCAGTATGAGAGGGAGTGACCGGTGGAGTGTTATAGTCAGGCAGTGGGTGACCGGCTCTGTTGATGAGCCCGACTGCTGACGGGAAGAAACTGTTCGTGTGGCGGGAGGTCGTAGTCCTGATGGACCTCAGCCTCCTGCCAGATGGAAGGGGCACAAACAGGTTTTGTCTGGGGTGGGAGGGGTCGGCCGCGATCTTTTTAGCTGCTTCAGAGACCTGGAAGCGAACAAGTCCTGCAGGGATGGCAGATTGCAGCCGATCACCCTCTCTGCAGAGCGGAGGACAAGCTGCAGCCTGCCCTTGTCCTTGGCTGTGGCTGCAGCGTACCAGACGGTGATGGAGGAGCAGAGGATGGACTCCATGATGGCCGTGTAGAAGTGGACCAACATCGTCTTTGGCAGGTTGAATTTCTTCAGCTGCCTCAGGAAGAACAACCTCTGCTGAGCCTTCTTGGTGATGGAGCTGATGTTCAGCTCCCACTTGAGGTCCTGGGTGATGATGGAGCCCAGGAAACGGAAGGAATCCACAATAGTGACGGGGGAGTCACACAGGGTGATGGGGGAGGGTGGGGCTCTGTTCCGTCAGTGGCACACTTTTTCCTTTCTGCAGCCGACGTCTCACTCTCTTACCCGTCAGCCGATGCCGATGATAACAAACAGCCTCCGTGCGCATTTTAATCGATGACGATCGTTTTGCATCAGACAGAAGCAGGAAAAAGGGAAGCGTCCGGACGGTGCAGATTTTAATCTTGTGTGTCGTGTTGCAGAGAGTTCAGGTGTGTTGAGTCGTGTATTTGGAGACAATTGAAAGTGCGGGTACATCGGCACCGCCCACACCGTCTCCTGCGGTCTTGGGCACGCGTGCGTTTTCGGGTGTACTCTCGTCGTTACACACTCTGCAGCACGGCTCGTTTTCAGCTCTGCTAAGTTTGAATGTAATACCTTTTATATTCATTACAGGACGAGGTGTTGCAGAGAGCATTTTCCAGGAATCAACTGTATAACTTTTTTCCCCTCGAGTAATGACTTTTGACCCACTGTGAGGGCGAGAATGTATAAAATAACTTAACCTCCAGCGCTTTGACATCATCAGGTATCACCAAGTACCGTAAAACAGGCACGGAATGATGCGCGCTGTTGTCCCTGACCACGTCGTCCCCACGATCAGTGCACCGTTGGGCGGCAGCGACTCACCGGGCATCCGGTAGAAGAGCCGTTCCCCGGATCCGTCGTTGGTCTGCAGGATCCTGCTGTCCAGAGACCAGTCCAGGTGAGTGATGAAGCTGGCTGACTGGCCGCATTCGCCCACCTACAGTTGGACAGAGCAAACCATCAACTCAGATCACCACGTCGCCGATGGCGTCGACGTCTGTATACCTTCTTGTATCTCTGGGCGACGGCGTAAATGTCCACGAGTCCGTCGTTGGAGCCGACGGCGAGGTACGCTGCGTCTGGGGAAAACTTCATCTCGTGGATCACCTCCTTCCTGTCTTTGATGTGGACGACCTCCGTCATGTCTCTGAGGCGGGCATGAGATAAAGAAAACGTTGTTTTAATGCCTGTCAGTCAGTGTGCGTGTGTGTGTGTGTGTGTGTGTGTGTGTTACCTGACTTTCAGCACAGTGAAGGATCCGTCCTTCATGCCCAGAGCCAGCTGGTATCCGTCCACGCTGAACGCCACGCTGCGCACCGCCCTCCTCCATGTTGCAGCGAGCGATGAGGGGCGTGATCCACCAGGACTCCACAACCTGGTACACACACACACACGCACACACACACAGCAGGATGAAGGAATATCAAATGAGACACAAACCCCCTGAATCTTTTTTCCCCACAACGGAAACTTAGCAACCTGTAACTTTGCAATAAAATGCAGTTTGATTAGTTCCCTAAACACAACAATATTGTAATATTTAAAAGACATAATTTTACAGATTTTTCTGGTCGTGGTGAAAGCAGTTGTTTTACTTCTACTTTAAACTCCCAGCAAAATCCGCTTTCTGAGCTTGTATGAGTTTAATTAGCCAATGAAACGCCGGCTGGAACTCTGCGATGACCCAAATTACAATAAAGAGCTCATTAATTTAACAAAGGGCTCAAGTTGGTCCGAATGTCATCAAATTCACGAAGCTCTGCAGCAGTAAAAGTATCTGATGGAGATTAAATGAATCGCCCAAACTAATAGAAAAGACGTGCAGCACCACTAAATTGGTCCAATTAAACTGAGCTTAAACCACATTATATATTATATTACATCTCAGTAGACCTGCCAGGATTATCCCTCTGAACTATGTGGTGTGCAAGAATATGAAAAATAAATCCAACAAGCATGTCGACATCTTTCTTCGGCTTCGCTGCTGTTTGCAACGGACTGTGTGTGTGTGTGTGTGTGTGTGTGTGTGTGTGTGTGTGTGTGTGTGTGTGTGTGTGTGTGTGTGTGTGTGTGTGTGTGTGTGCACAAGGGTCATGAATAATCCCAGCAAACAGTGACCAGCCGCTGGAGAACCCGCAGAAAACGCCGACGTTACAACAGACTGACCGGACGGAGCGGTCGTCGCTGCCGGTGACGGCCAGAGGCTTTTTGGGGTGAACGTCCAGCGCCCACAGCTCGCCCTCGCTGTGTCCCTGCATGATGAGCAGCGGCTTGTCCCGGTCCCTCACCATCACCTGCGCCGCAGCACAAAGACGTAAGCGATGCGGCTTCAAACTTTTGACTCGTGGGTGGAGTTGTGTCTAAATAGGCTTCTGTGCGGGTGCTCGTTTCTACTTCTACTCCGCTACATTCGAATGAGAAATGGACACAATATGATGTTTTGGTATCAGTTTAACGACGTGCCAGTTTCTGAAATAATTAGTCCATTAATCAATTAGGCAGTTGATAGTAAAGGATTTTCTCTCACCTCAAAGATCTCGCTGTCTTGCGTCCCCGCCAGGATTCGGTCGGCCCGCCAGCAGACGCTGCGAATGGAGAGTCCTGCAGGAGGAGGACTGACTTTTAAAGAACAAAACGGCGAGTCCAAACAACAAGGCCGTGTCATGAAAGGAAACAGCGAGACGAAGGTTCGGAGTCTCGTTTAACCGTTTCAGCAACTTTCTATTTAAGGCTTTTAAAGGCTTCGAAATCATCGACAGGAACATTAACTTCTACGATCTCCCATTGAGAGCTTATGTTAAAATACTGGCAGCTGGCAGAGTATGAGCTCACCCTTTCTACTAATACACAACATTAATTAACATTATTAAAAGGGAAACGCAGCAAATACAGACTAATTGATTAACGGATCATTCATGTCAGCTGTTCGGTTGTGTAATTAATAACAAAACCTTTTGTCCCTCTTCTCATTTCACTCGGTGCATTTATTCAAAATGAAAGTGCATCATCGAATCCACAGGAGGATTCAGAGGAAAGATGTTTAACTCTTGCAACTAGTGTTGCCCGTGCTCTCCGCCCTCCCTTTCACACTCCCGTTTCATCCAGCGCGTCGGGTGGAATCAGCAGATCCGCTCGGCGGCGCCGGACAATCAGAGCGAGCCAAACGCAACCCGACAGCAGACGGGTTCATGGGGTCATTTGGAAGCGTTTGCCTGTAAGAGGACTGTGTCTCTCCGATGTGTCACCTCCAGAAGTGTGAATAGCCGCCTTAACAAATCCCCGCTAAACCGCCCGGGGGAGCGAAGTGTGAGAAAATAAGGATCCCGCCTTGCTTTCATTACATTTTAATGGAATTCTCTTACTTCGTTTTGATTTTAGTTGTTTCCTTTTATAGCAAATGTTGCTGTGTTTGAAAACCTACTTAACAATGAACCAGATTCTGTGAACATGGTGGTGCTACGAGAAAAATCACCAAATTCAGGTGGATTCATCCTCTTTGAATCATGAGTATCAGGAAAGATATTTATGGAAATCACTTAAATTGGTTTATCGGACTTTAAGCTGAAAAGTAACTTTCTTCAAAGCCCATCGAGAGGTGAAGGAGTTAAACTTCCACCTTCTCCAGAAACCTTCTCCGACTCCTCGTACACGTTCAGCGGAGGAGATCAGGAGACCAGGGGCTTAATGGTTCTTCAAAGAATAACATCTCCAGCGTCTGCATTCAGGAGTTCAAGCGTGGATTAAGTGCTCCTGCTGAAGACAAACTTGAAACTCTCCTGAAAACTTCTCCTCAAAGACGCTAAATCAGGTCGTCTCCGTTTGCAGCTGAAGACGGAACTTGACAAGTGAACTTCTTAGAAAAATGTCTTCGGGGGGGAAAAGAGAAGTTGACGGATTCAAGCGTCCTCCTCCTCGTTTCTCCGGAAGGAGACTGACTAAAGTCGTATCGAAGCGACACTTCCTCCTCCGCTTTTAGAAGTGGAGACGAGGTGACGTTTAACGCCAGTGGGTTTGTTCACATTTTGAGGAAAAGGTTTAAGTGGCCAGCGAGGGTCGATGAGCAGACTAAAGCCAAATCTCCCGTTGACAGAAGTTGATCCCCGAAGACAAACAAGGTGACGAGCGCTCAAGTCCGTCGGTCCCTCCTCGAAAAAACGTCACGCGTTCGTCTCGCCGATGTCGCGACCGCGTCCCGCCGTTGATCCCGCTGTTTGTACCTTTGTATCCCTGCTCGGCCTCTCGGAGGTCGATCTTGGTGATCGGCTTGAAGTCGGCGTCCCACAGCCGGATGCAGCCGTCCCTGCCTCCGGTGGCGAAGCCCTCCTCGCACGAGTACATGCTGAAGATACCAGCCTGCACACACACACACACACACACTCATCTAACATTGTTGAGGTAGAATAACGTGCGATATGATGACACAGTGCAAGTAATCAATTAATCTGCTTATTGTGGTTTATTTTTAACAAATACATCCCAATTTTGAGGATTTGCAGGTTTCATCAATTGATGAAATAAAGAGGAACACTCGTGATTCATTGGGTCAGAAATGTTTCACTATATTAATGTATTTAAAGTAGAATAAATCAATGCACCATGTAATAGTAAAAGCAGCAGTACTGATTGTATTTATATATATATAAACACGGTTCTACTTTTGACTCTGGAGGTCAAAGGTCGCTCACCCCGTGTGCGGCCTGGACTGTGCGTGTCAGGTTGAGGAGCTTCCACACGTAAATGTCGCCGTTGAGCGCTCCGGAGTACGTGAGGTCGTCTTTGGCGGACGCCACACACAGGATGGTCTGCAGGTCGCCCGTCTTCCCAAAGATCCCCCTCTTTGGAGTGAGAGCGTTTCCACACAGGGACCAGAACTACGGACGGAGACCGAGGGGACGCGTGAGACCTTCACAGACATCAATCAATACACACAAACCGTGTGTGTGTGTGTGTGTGTGTTACCTTAATGTGTTTGACTCCACAGCTCACCAGACGGTTCTGCTGAAACGGATCCCAGCTGACGTCAAAGATCTGGAGGACGGAGGAGATGTTAGTGACGTGTAGAGGCTACGTAACACACACACACACACACACACACACACACACACACACACACACACACACACACACACACACACTCTCACCCTGTCTGAGTGTCCGGTGGCTGTGGCCAAGATCTTCCCTCTCTTCCAATCCCAGATACACATTGTGTTCTTGGCATCCAGGCCGATGGACGCTAACCGCTACAGAGGAGGGGGGCAGTTAGCGCTTCGTATCAGAACACATGAACACAATGTGAAAATACCAGAGGTGTCAAGTAACGAAGTACAAATACTTTGTTACTGTACTTAAGTAGACATTTTTGGGTATCTATACTTTACGACGACTGACGACTTTTTAATTCTTCTCCTTCCATTTTCACGCAAATATCTGTACTTTCTACTCCTTACATTTTAAAAACAGCCTCGTTACTTCCGGCTTGTCGTAGTTCAACAACACAAACACAAAAAACTAGATAAATGGCGCTATAAACATTTAGCATCCAGACACCCGATTGGTTTTCTTTCTGGTTTTCTTTGGAAAGTTGGTATTTAGCGACACGGAGCCTCCTCCTCTTCCTCCTCCTCTTCCTCACGCAGATTCCATGTGACGTTAGATGAGCATCTTCGTGACCGTGGGTTTGTCCTAAATGTTTGATTGGGAGTCTGGCACAACACAGCGACTTGCAAGCAGCGTATTAAATAAAGTGACGTGTGTCTTAATGCGGCTTTGGAAATGAACACAAAGGGATTCTGTATTTGCTCATAAAGCCTGAAAATACTAAAACTTTTACTTTTATACTTTAAGTAGTTTTGAAACCAGTACTATATATAAGCTTGAGTTGGTACTTCAACTTCTACAGGAGTCTTTTTAAACCCTAGTATCTGAACTTCTACTTGAGTAATAAATGTGAATACTTTTGACACCTCTGGTAAATGCTGTGATTTTCGACGCAAGCAAAAGGGGCTTCAGGTCAGCAGTGACTTTTTCTATAAACCTTGAGATTGAATATTATGCAAATATTTCGCATATACACATTATTTGTAAAAGTTACAAATTTGAAAATGTCTAACTTGAATAAATAAACTTCAATTTTTGAGCCTTAGTTTATCAACGAAGAATTTAGATTTTTCTTGAATTGAGCCGTGTTGGAGTGAAACATCTACATCATGTTCCATGTTCTACAATGCTGCTGAAAATAAGACACCAATGTTTCCAATAACTTCAATCTACTCCAGCGAATTAATCCTTTAACTTGATTAGTTGAATGAAACAACCTGAAGAACTGTCTGCCTGTAATTAATCACAGTTTAAGATGGAAGGTTTTCAAAACTCGCTCACTCGTGTCAAAGCCTGATTGTTTTGGCACAATTAAAATCCCTACTTTTTACTGCTGATAAAGAAGGTTTCTCGGTTCGAACCACGTCTCTGTTACACTGCGAGTGAACGTTTGAGGAAACTACAGTTCATCACATCTCACAAAGCCACTTTTCACAATATTTGGAGACACATTTCCACTTTTTTTATGTGAAGTCAAAGTTGTACCAAATCACATCTTTATCAGCCGAGTCTCGGCTCTTAATTACATTTTATTTGGAGGGCGGCAGTGGCGCAGAGAGCATAAAATAAAGTATCCCAGACTCTTTGCTCTCTACGGCTTGACAATAAATCAGCCACAACAAAGCCCGAGCACTCGATTCATTATTCAGATGGATTTACGATCATCGTATTGATTGCGGGTCTGCTCTGATTTACTCACAGCTGTTAAGTCACCGTGACAGACACGTCAGCCCGGATCATTTCACCGCTTCACAACCCACTCGCTTTTTTCTCTCATTTACTTTTAACAGCCGGGCAGAAACGGAAAAACACCCGCCGAGACCTTACGGGACCTGTGAAAGTTTCATTTTAAAGTGAGAAGCTAAAACCTTTCACAGCAGGTTCGACATGTTTCCTGCTCTTGTCTACGGACGCTGATGTAAAGGTCACTTTCCCGGGGGCTTATTCTGCTGCAAGCAGCGAGTCGACGCCTGGCGTTTCCTTTTGACCCCCATCCACCTCGACCTCGGTTCCTCTACGGTGAACGTGACCTTGGGCCCGTGTTCCCGTCCGTAATTGCTTCGCTCGCTGGAGTCTGTTCTGAATGAATTTTGATGTGACACATTTGCCAGAGGAGGTTTACGGTCCGGGCCGTTTAGCTGACGGAGCAACAGCGACGCAGATTTAATACAAATGACGGGATGAGGTCAACACCTCCCGAATGCACGCCACGTCCAGGCGAGCTCGTCCCGAGTATCGCCGCGAAGAGGAAAACAAGCCGTGTTTCATGTTCTCAGGTTGACCCACGTGGGAGGGAAAAAAACAAAAAAGAGATGGAGAGAAACCGGCCGAACACATCGATGCAGAAGACCGAACTCTCCATGGTGACATCACAAGGGTGATGGAGCCACACGCGATAAATTCAACTAGGGTGCGACTGTGGGATGGAAACATTTGGACAAGGCCCGTGAATACAGGACTTCGGCAAACAGCAGAGACATTAAGCGTCATAATACATTCAGCCGGTGGCGTCGGCGGCACGAGAAATACTCGTCCTCAATGTTTACGTTGCACGTCAGCCGTTGACTTTCCAAGTTGCTGAATCAAAAGTGATGAAAAAGCTTCATCATCACCATCATATTTTGTCCTTGTCCGTCACTTCTTACTTTCCGCAGCCTATTGGCTGCTGCTTGTGTGCGTAGGTGTGTGTGTGTGCGTGCGTGCGTGCGTGCGTGCGTGCGTGTGTGTGTGTGTGTATAATGTGCAATGCTTCTGTGACCTTTAGGTTGATAAATGACTGTCCTTAAATGACAAAATCCATCTGTCAGATGCACACACACACGCACACAAACGCACAAACACGTTCCTTTTGTTCAGTGAGTGTGTGTAGAATGTGCGTGCATCAAGTGTGTCTCTTCCAACGAGCACGCGCGTGTGTGTGTGTGTGTGTGTGTGTGTGTGTGTGTGTGTGTGTGTGTGTGTGTGTGTGTGCGTGTGACACCTGTCCGTCAGCGCTGAATGCGAGGCAGGCGATGCCGTGTGTGTGTTCGTCTCGCAGCAGCGACACGCTCTGTGCAGTGAAGGAGTCCCACACACACACGTAGGGGTCTCTTCTCCACCTGACCCGTGGGCACCAGAGAGCGCTCCGGGTGCAGCGCCAAGCTGGGGGGGGGGAAGTGTAAAATGTGGTAGATATGTGTGGTAGAGTTCACAGTGAGACCTTGTATCCAGTCAGCGGATTCAAATTCATTTTGTATTAGAGATTTTTAGAGAATCAGTCAAAGTTGAGACAGGTGAAATGTCCCCAGAGTGACAAACGCGACTAAGAGACACAATTCCAGAGGGATTTTATTCGTATTGTATTTAATAGTCTTAACAAATGAGAAAATTCCACTGTAAATATTTGTTATTTCTATTATATTTATTATATGTTGCGTGACATTGGATATTATTGGATATATATGACATGTCTATAAATAAATGAGAGAAAAGACAAAAACAAGTTAACATGTCAACTCACTGAAATCAACTTAAAACACTTATTTATAAACCTGTCTTCCTCTGCTGGAGGGTGATAGTGAGACTTCTATAAATACGCTCACTGCTTAATGGCATCATTATCAACACACACACACACACACACACACAAGCATCAGGGATCATTACACCATCAACAGAGCGGAGAGTAGACTGTGTGTGTGTGTGTGTGTGTGTGTGTGTGTGTGTTTCCTTGCAGCTCGGAGCGACTGTGAAGGAAACAAGAGTCACAAGAAGGTGACAGAAATAGAACAGGTGTGTCAGCCACAAAGGCCCATTGATCTCAGGGATGCTCTGCACACACACACACACACACACACACACCCTTCGACATCGCTCCTGCCTCCTCAACCTGCCTGCCAACGAGTGTGCTGGCTGCCCCGGTTGCCATGACAACCACATTGCCAAGGGCACGGGCGCTGAGGACGGAGCGTGACAACTGTAGAGTCAAGGTCAAACGTCACAAAACAAACACACACAGACACACCTGGACTCTCCTCTTGGCTGATACGCGACAACTTCTCCTTTATCCCCATTTGTATAAAAAAAGGCTGATCATTTATCAGCATTTATGTCAACATGTGGCATCCTTTCTATATGTCAACGTTTGTCTTACGCGTTTGTTTCCTTTTTTTTTTACACATTTAAGACACTCAGCAGCTAATCTGAACCTTTATTCCCAAAATATCAAGGTGCGTGTGTCTGATTTAAATTGGTATTAATGTTAATAATCAGATATTTATTGTGTTTGTATGGATGCATTTTACATCAGTAATTGATTTGCACTTTTCTTTCATTTTCTTCTCATCTTTCTCTCCTTCAAAGCTCTCTCTCTCTCTCTCTCTCTCTCTCTCTCTCTCTCTCTCTCTCTCTCTCTCTTCCTCCACTTTCACTTAACTTCTCTCAATTGTCCCTTTGGCTGCTCTTTTTATGACCTTGGGACAAACTGCCATCTGTTTGGTTGCACCACTACCCAGATGTCCCCCCCCCCCCCCCCCCTCTCCCCCCTCTCCCCCCTCTCTCTCTCACACACAACGGATTTCCTCTTGGCTATTTATAGAAGATGCACAAACTTCAAAAGCTGCTAATAATAGCAACGTTGTACTGTGTGTGTGTGTGAGAGAAGCAGACTTTATCAGATTAAAGTGTACACAAATTGACTTTTCACCTGAAAGTGAGGCTACATTTTCCTCCCAAATCGAGTTAATTTTCCCTAAACCACAGTGCGCTGACAGGCGTTTGTGTACGGAGATGATGACTAATGGCCTGAATACAAAGTGTGGAAAGCGAGCAGCAGCGTCTGTTTCCTGCTCATCAAAGCTCAGAGAAAAGTGCTGCAGCCGGCGGGGAGAAGAGACGGGAAGCAGAAGATGGGGAACAGTCATCACAGGAATTAATTGGTAAAGGACACGCACACACAGACACACAGACACACACACACACACACACACTAATTGTGCCAATTAAACTAGAATGAGCACATGCATCCTCCGATTAATATTGTAAATGCCACATGAATAATACATTAACTAGTGTGTGTGTGTGTGTGTGTGTGTGTGTGTGGTCTTATTTCCTTCATGCTTGAGCCCAAAAATCATCTTTTTTTCGTCCTTTGCGATGAACTTCTCTCGCAAGCAGCGACCTTTGACCTCCCCGTTAGCACGTGCTATTTACTTACAGGCAGCTTCAACACACGTGGGAGTAAAATCTGCGTAGGTGAGTTTATTTGTAGAAGGTGGTGAAATCAGGACGGGGTCTATAAATAGCACAGAGGAACTCCTCTGTGTGTGTGTGTGTGTGTGTGTGTGTGTGTGTGTCCAACACAACAGCTTGCTTTCCCCAGCCTCCCGTGCAGAAATAATTGAGAACACCAGAGACTGATGTATTTTTACATCCATCCAGCTTCTCCCCTTTTTGTCTCAAATCTCAGTCTAAAACACAACACATAACTTTATGAAAAACACTTTCAACCGTTTTCATTTTGTGTTTTTTGCCCCGAGGATGTTCTTTGGTCGATGCTGCCCGTTATAATTCAGCATAA